AAGTGCTTAGCTAAGAGCAGAAAAGGGTGCAGACAACAGTTAGGATACAAAAAGGATTTCGTTATACAATTCCAAAGTTCTTCTGGCTCAGATGCCCTACCACAATGCTTACACAAAAGGCAGACAGGGTGAGAACAATTTATTTTACTCCTAGGCTAAGAGGAGTTTGAATTCAGCACAGCTTGGGCTTGCTGGATCCATCACACCACAGGGGCCAAGACTGTCCCATATATTTTTTCAACAGCTACATAAAACCACTAGGAGAAATTGTTCACAGCACAGACATGTACAGACACAAGGAAAACATTCAATGCCTCAAAACAATGAAACACAGATACACAGAAAAAGATAAAGGCTTCCCCTTAATCTCTGGCTCTGGGGGTGGTTCTCATCTCAATCTCTAAACTACAGAACCTGCATTGTTCATAAACACCTCCTAGCTCATATGACTGGCATGACTGCATGGAGAACCATTTACCTTCCCACCGAGGCAGTATCTATTGATTGACTCACAATTGCATGTTTTTGAACTGTTAGGTTGGCAGGAACTGGGGCTAACAGCAGGAGATCACCTCATCCTACAGATTTGATTCGCTAATCTTACAGTCAGCAAGTTCAGCAGTTTAGTGGTTTAACCATTTGCGCCACCACAGCCCCCTTTCTTGGGGGGGGGGGAGGGTGTCAGATCAAGCCAAAATAGTTTATGCCCTAGGCCTTTTCTACACTGCCATATAATTCAGAATATCAAGGCAGACAATCCACATTATCTGCTTTGAACTGGATTATCAGAGTCTACACTGCCATATAATCCAGTAGATAATCTAGATGTTATACAGCTGTGTAGAAGGGGCTTGATTTACCTCTTGATCCAACTACTGCAATGTGCCCATGAAAAAGCTTGGAAGCTGCAGCTCTGCACAATGCAGCAGCCAGACTAGTATCAGGCACACATTTTAGAAACCATACAATAATAAGGACACAGGCTTCCAATTTGCTGCTGAGCTCAATTCATGGTCCTGGTGTTGACTGAGCCATAAATGTATTGGAATCAAGACATCTTAATCTGCTTCCAATATAACCTTGTCAGAAAATTGAGATCTTCAGAAGAGGTCTTGGTGCATTCCCAAAACTTCCCAATTCAAGGAAGTTAGGCTAAATTCATTTCCTTTAACTTTCTGGTGGGCAGCCCTAACAGTGTTGTTCCGCACAGCATTTGGTGTTTGAAATTCCATTTTTAACTGATTTTAAACTGGATTCTATAATTGCTTTCAGACTATTTTAGCAGTTTCAAAATGGTATTGAATATTTTTATCTTTACATTGTTTAAATTATTTTTTAAAATTATTTTAGGAGCCCTTGAGAGCAGGGAGATGATCCAGAAATACTTTAAATTATATAAACAAACAAATAAAAATAAATAAAAGCAGATCCTATTACAATGAGACATTGTTAAATACCATATTTTAAAATTGTACATTGTGAACAGTCAAAAAAGTGTGAAAATGATTTGTGTTGCTGCATTTCTGGAGTTTTCTTCCTATTGGACAATATGAAAAAGAATTTGTCTAAAACCCAGTGTGAGGGACCCAAAGAACTTATAATTATTCTAATCTAGATCACAGCCAGGGAGAATTTCACCCTTAAATGAACCTTTCTTTTACATCAATAACTCTCTGTCCATTAGTGTACAAACCACTAAAAGTATTATAAAACTAATCTTGTTACATTTCGAATATAAAATAAAATCCGATTTGCTTTAAAAGCACAGAGGAAGGTTTCAGGACCCTCTTTCTGAATTTCCCTCTGCATCTTTATAAAAACGTCTGTATGAAACGGTGCTCTCTGCTGGCCAATATGAGAAGATAAAATAGAAGAAAATATTTTCTCACATTATACAAGCTCTGACAGAGCAGCATATGAAACTACCCAAGAGCATAATGTTGGTATGGTTTGTGATGACTTTCCAATACTGCCACACACTGTTCTTTAAGTGGAAGTGCCATGGATTTTATCTTTATATGCAAACACTTTCCCCATCAAACTATATAGCCCTGTCCACAAACAATACAATATGTTGTGTGTGATATTATGTAATACTACTATAAACGAAACAAAAATACAGCAATTGCTTATTCCGGGTTGTTTCATTGTAATTTCATTTTTAGCTGGAACGATTTAATACAGAGTCAGTTTTGCAACCTCTACAATGTGTCACTAATGAAACATACTCCATCTTGAAAGATACTTCCCATTCACAAGATCTGTGTATGTGCAGAATATAGACCCCTCCCATACAGCTGTATAAAATCCATATTGAACTGGATTATATAGTAGTGTGGACTCAGATAATCCAGTTCAAAACAGATTTTCTGGATGATCTGCCTTGATATTCTGGGTTATATGGCTGTGGAAGGGTCCATACTTACAGAGTACTCTCAACATCAGGCATGGGCAAACTTCAGCCTTCCAGGTGTTTTGGACTTCTGCTCCCAGGATTACTACTAGTCTACCAGGTTTTAGGAATTGTGGGAGTTGAAGTCCAAAACACCTGGAGGGCCAAAGTTTGCCCATGCCTGCTCAACATCTCCAGCCAATAATGGTAATCAAGAACCTGCTTTTTAAATACATTCTTCTTCATAAAGATTTTTTTTATTGTGTCAGAAGCAACTTAAGAAACTACAAGTCACTTCTGCTGTGAGAGAATTGGCCGTCTGCAGAGACATTGCCCAGGGGACTCTTGGATGTGTTACCATCCTGTGGGAGGCTTCTCTGCCATCTCCGCATGGGAAGCTGGAGCTGACAGATGGGAGCTCAGCCAGTCTTGCAGATTCAAACCGCCAACCTTCAGATCAGCAGTTCAGCTGGCACAAGGGTTTAACCTATTGTGCCACCACGGTGATGACGTGATAAGAGGTAAAACATTTTAGTATAAAATGTCTTCAGTTATATTCCATTCTGGACATGAAAACAGGATATTTTCTGCAGGGTCAGAGGAGAAAATCTGTCTCACAAATGCATGATACATTTTGTAAAAGCAATGTGCCTTCTCTGATAGTTCTCATGATCAAAGCTCATTATGCTCACTATCTCCATTCATGCTCCATTACTAACAAAGGAATGCTCCAAAGTCCAATTTCCCTTGTATGGAATCAGGGCAGCATCTGGTTCAGGGCCCTCTTTTCCTTCTTCTGGGACAATCAGAAACTTGGAAAGAGCTGCCAAAGAGCCAACACTGTAGAGTCTAGTTTGACTCCATTTTAACTGTCATGGCTCAGGGCTATGAGATCTTGGGAGTTATAGGGCCCTTCCACACAGCTGGTAGACTGGTGTAGACTCTCTAGGGCAGGCATCCTCAAACTGCGGCCCTCCAACTGTTTGGGCCTCCAACTCCCAGAAGCCTTGATGAGCTTGTTCAATTGTCAGGAACTCTGGGAGTTGAAGGCCCAAACAGCTGGAGGGCTGCAGTTTGAGGATGCCTGCTCTAGGGAGACCAAGGTGCTTGTTTATAAAGCCATTGTCCTCCCAACCCTGCAAAATGTGGACTGTCTACAGACGTCATACGCAACTCCTGGCACGATTCCATCAGCGCTGCCTCCGAAAAATCCTACAAATCTCTTGGGAAGACTGGCAGACAAATGTCAGCATGCTGGAAGAAGCAAAGACCACCAGCACTGAAGCAATGCTCCTCCGCTGTCAACTCTGCTGAACTGGCCACGTTGTACACATGCCTGACCACCGTCTCCCTAAGCAGTTGCTCTACTCCGAACTCAAGAACGGGAAATGGAATGTTGGTGGGCAGGAAAAGAGATTTAAAAATGGGCCTAAAGCCAACCTTAAAAACTGGCATACACACCCAGAACTGGGAAGCCCTGGTCCTTGAGCGCTCTAGCTGGAGCTCAGCTGTGACCAGCAGTGCTGCAGAATTCAAAGAGGCACAAATGGAGGGCGAAAGGGAGATACATGCCAATAGGAAGGCGCATCAAGCCAACCCTGACTGGGAACGCCTTTCATCTGGAAACCAATGTTCTCACTGCGGGAGAACATGCGGATCAAAAATAGGGCTCCACAGCCACCTACGGACCCACTGCCAAGACACCACATCTGGAAGACCACCATCCTCAAGCAATGAGGGATTGCCTAAGTAAGACTGTTAGTAATTGTGGGAGCTGAAGCCGAAAACATATGGAAGGCCGAAGTTTGCCCATGCCTGATGGTGAGGGTACTCTGTAAGCATGGGCCCTTCCACACAGCCTTATAATCCAGAATATCAAGGCAGGTAAGCCACATTATCTGCTTCGAACTGGATTATCTGAGTCCACACTGCCTTATAACCCAGTTCAATGTGGATTTTATACAGTTCTGTGGAAGGGGCCTAGTTTGGTGAAGTCCCAGCACTCTTTGGCAGAGATGGTTAAAGACCTGGTAAGACTCCAACTCCTAAGATTATAATCATAGAATCATAAAGTTGGAAGAGACCTCATGGGCCATTCAGTCCAACCCCCTTCCAAGAAGCAGGAAAATTGCATTCAAAGCACCCCCGACAGATGGCCATCCAGCCTCTGTTTAAAAGCCTCCAAAGAAGCAGCCTCTACCACACCCCGTGACAGAGAGTTCCACTGCTGAACAGCTCTCAGTCAGGAAGTTCTTCCTCATGTTCAGATGGAATCTCCTTTCTTGTAGTTTGAAGCCATTGTTTTGCATCCTAGTCTCCAGGGAAGCAGAAAACAAGCTTGCTCCCTCCTCCCTATGACTTCCCCTCTTTAAACCGCTCCTCATAGGGCTTGTTCTCCAGACCCTTGATCATTTAAGTTGCCCTCCTCAGGATTGAGCCATAGCAGTCAAAGCGGGCTCTAAAACTGTATTATTTCTACAGTGTTGTAGATGCTTTCCCTGTCACACGGTTGGGAGGCCAAGATGTATGAGAACAAGGCTTCAAAACATGGCAGGCTGCCAGCAAAGAGTAAGCAGGAAAGAGAGCTTCTCAGCTCTGCCTTGGGCCTGGCCACTCCCCGCCGCCGCCGCCTCCTCCTTCCTGGGGAAAGAGGGGCAGGAGAGCGGCCGGCTTTGAGGCCCAGGAGGAATGCTCTTGGCCCTGGGCGCCCGCCTCCTTCGAGGGGAAAAGGCCTGCTCAGCAGCTTGGAGGGCGAGCGGGCCACACTCGCTCAGGATCAGCGCCAGGAAGGTGAGAGGACGAGGGAGGGAAAAGGGCCTGCGAGGGGTCCATCCGGCGCTTCTTTGGGCCTCACAAACAAGACGAAGAGCAATGGGGGGCCACAAGGTTTCTTCTGATCCTTGCGTTGTCTGAGCATGTGCAGAGTGCGCCTTGCTCACGGCTGAAAGTTTCTGAGCGTGTGCCAAATGCATCTAATTAATAGCTGAAGGCTTAGAAGGTGTGCGGAGTATGCTTTGCCCACATTTGAAGGTTTCTGAACACGTGCAGAGTGCGCCCAGCTGTTATTTGAAAGCTGCTATGCGGAGTGTGCCTTGCTCACGGCTGAAAGTTTCAAAGCATGTGCAGAGTGTGCTCTGCTCCTATTCGGAGACCCTGAGTATGTGCAGGGCTCCTTGCTTATGGCCTGAGGCCTCTATGCTTGCACAGAGTGGGCTTTGCTTCTAGCAGAAGGCCTCTGAGCTTGTACAGTTTGCCTTGCTCATAATTGAATGTTTCTAAGCATGTGCAGAGTGCACCTGGCTGGTATTTGAAGACCTCTATGTGGAGTGTGCCTTGCTCACGGCTGAAGGTTTCTGAGCATGTGCAGAGTGTACCCACCTTCTTTTTGAGCGCCCCTGAGCATACACAGTGCTCCTTGTTCATGGCTGAAGGCCTTGCTATGCATTCACAGAGCGTACTTTGCTTTTAGCAGAAGGCCTCTGAGCATGTGCAGTGTGCCTTGCTCATGACTGAAGGCTCCTGTGCATGCACAGTGTGCTTTGCTTCTAGCACAGTGGTTCTCAACCTGTGGATCCCCAGATGTTTTTACCTTCAACTCTTAGAAATCCTAACAGCTGGTAAAGTGCCTGGGATTTCTGGGAGTTGTATGCCAAACACCTGGGGACCCACAGGTTGAGAACACTATTCTAGCAGAAGGCCCCTGAGCATGTGCAGAGTGTGCCTTGCTCCTGACTGAAGGTTTCTGAACAAGTGCTGTGTGCCCTGTTTGAATTTTAAGTCCCTTGAGCATGGGTAGTGCACCTTGCTCTTATGTGAAGGTCTCTCTGCATTGCTGAAGGACTCTGAGCATGTGTCGTGTGTCTTTTTCATAACTGAAGTCTCTGAGCATGTGCATAATGTGCATTGCTCAGGGCTAGAGGTCTCTGAGCATGTGCAGAGCATATCTTGTTTATGTCTGAAGGCTCTGAGTATGTGTGGAGGGCATGCCACTCATGGTGGAAGATCTCTGGGCAAGGTGCAAGGTGGCTGAAGGCCTCTGAGCATATGCAGAGTGCATCTTTTGGCTGAATGTCTCTGCACATCGGCAGAGTGCACTTTGCTCATGGCTGAAGAGCATATGTGGAATATGACTCGCCCATGGCTTTTTTATTTCATGTCAAAAGCATTGCATTAAATAAGTTTAAAACTGATAAAATAAGGTTAAAGGCCTCTGAGCGTGTGCAGAGTGCAGCTTGCTGCTGTTTGATGGTCTCTGAGCGTATGCCGTGTGGGTTGTTCCTTTGAGCATGTGTAGTTCTTTGAGCATGTGCAAAGTGTGCCTCGCTCATGGCTGAATAAGTCCAAGGCAATTATTCCACTGAGTTTCAGCATATGAACCCATTTCTTCATGCCATCACCTTTTATGGCTCTTTCTTATTATCTTTGTGTCAATTAAAGTTTTGTCAAATGTGTATTGAAAGAAAATATTTTTCTATAACTTTGTATGCAATGTTGATTCATCCGCTATGTCTAAGAGTATGATGTTTGTGTCTGTGCTTTTTTATTTTTCTACATAGATCATGACCAAGCACAAAAATGCCAAGCGAATTGAAGGACTTGATAGCAATGTGTGGTAAGTAATCATTAAAATTAATAGTGACAATGTGGGCTCACTTTAAAAAGATTCGGATATATGCATTTAATCCATTCTACTAGTGACCACATACATTGTTTCCAAAAGCTACCAGATATGTCTGAACAAATTTTACAGGAATTGCAAAAATTGTGTTGAAGATACGCATTCTTTTGCTATAAAATGCAGTTTTCCAAGCCTTGTACCAAAGCAATTGGATACATTTTGGAGTCAAACCTTTACTGGGCAATTTCCAGAGTCATTTGCTATCTGCAGGTTGAACATCCCTTATCTGGAATTCTGAAATCCTCCAAAATACAACATTGTCCACATGGACATCTGACATAACGACACTTTTACCCTTTTGATGGTTCAGTGTCTACAAAACTATAGTTCATACACAAAATTATTAAAAGGATCATATATGAATTTGGTTTCAGGCTATGTGTAATAAGATGTATATGAAACATATGACTATATATATTTGGATCTCATCTCTAAGATACCTCATTATGTATGTATATGTAAATACAAGTATTCCAAAAACAAAAAAAGCCCAAACACTTCTGATCCCAAACATTTTTGGATAAGGGATATTCAACCTAGCTGGAATTTCTGGGAGCTGAAGTCCAAAACATCTGGAGGAGCACAATTTAAGGAACTCTGCTCTAGTTTCATGCTAAATCAGCAGCTGATTTAGCATGGAACTAGAGCAGCGTTCCTTAAATTGTGCTCCTCCAGATGTTTTGGACTTCAGCTCCCAGAAATTCCAGCCAGATTACCAACTGGATTAGAACTCCTACATTAGGAATTGTGGGAGCTGAAGTCCAAAATATCTGGAGGAGCACAGTTTGAGAACCACTCATCTGGAGTATTATTCCTTGTAATTCTGTATGAAATATTATTTCCGTAATTCCTTCCTTTTATAGGGTGGAATTTACCCAGCTAGCTGCAGATCCTTCCATAGTGAATCTTGGACAAGGCCTCCCAGATATATCTCCTCCTGACTATGTGAAGGAAGGATTAGCAAAAGCATCCTCAGTGGACATGCTGAACCAGTACACGCGTGGCTTTGTAAGTACACTCTCTGAGAGGTTGCTTTGAATCTGTTTTGAAGCCAAACTGTTTCTTAAACTCCCTTGCTGGTAGGTCAGTCCCCTCTAAGTATGTTGTGTTGGTCACCAGGGTTCTGTGTTCAACGTTTGATCCAGGTTCGTCATTGATGGGGTTCAGAGTGCTCTGGATACAGGTGAACTATAACTCCTATTCCCACCCCAGAGGCGGCCCTAGGTAATTTTCAACAGTAAGCAAACAGTATTCCCCCCCCCCCCCAACCAATCACTGATATATATTTTCTGTTCATCGTGGGAGTTCTGTGTGTCATATTTGGTTCAATTCCATCATTGGTGGAGTTCAGAATGCTCTTTGATTGTAGGTGAACTATACATCCTAGTAACTACAACTCGCATATGTCAAGGTCTATTTTCCCCCAAGAGCGCCTCAAGAGCGCCCCTGGGCAAAATCAACTATACTGCAAATGCTTACTTTGCGTAATGGGTTGAGCCGCCCCTGCCCAAACCCATCTAGTATGTTCTGTTGATCATGGGGGTTTTGTGTCCCAAGTTTGGTCCAGGCCCATGTGGTACAGATCCATCATTGGTTGCTCTCTGGTGAACTATAACTCCTATAACTCAAGGTCAGTTCTCCCCAAACCTCTTGTTCAGTTGCAGATCAGTTCCTGTTTGCTGTGTGCCATAGGAAAGAGTAGGAAAGGGTTGAGGGAAAGGCAGTGGGCAGGATAATGCAAATTCCACACCAGTGGAGAGAGAGAAAAGAACCCTGGGATGTCCACACTGAAAGAAAAACAGGAGGAAAAACAGAACATCTAGGATGAAATTGTCCCAGAATGAAAGCTTTCCTTGGGTGGTGGGCAGTATGGTGTTTGGGGAGGATATTGGCAGGGGTTGGGAGACATGTTCATTCCACCCACGAAAACCTGAAATGTCCTTGGAGGGAGTGCTTTGACTGGCTCCTAAGCATTGTGGGTTAAAGCTGTTTTTTATTTTATTACATTTATTATTTTACTCTATTTATTGTTATTATTACATTTATTATTTTGCTCTATTTATTATTGTTATTATTACATTTATTATTTTACTCTATTATTATTTTTCTTACATTTATTATTTTACTCTCTTTATTATTATCGGAAGGGTGCGTAAGCACATTTACATTGAAGAAGGTTAGAATAATGGTTTAATCAGAGGTGGACAGTCTTATCTTAAATTATGGTTTTATGTAAATATTAAAAAACATTTAACCTACTGACGCCTCAATTAATGTAATTTTATTGGTATCTATTTTTATTTTGAAATTTACCAGTAGCTACTGCATTTCCTACCCTCGGCTTATACTCGAGTCAATACTTTTTCTGTTTTTTTGTAGTTAAAATAGGTGCCTCTGCGTATATTCAAGTATATATGGAATAATCATAACTATGAATTTGAAACCTGTAAAAGTGGAGGCATGACTATTACATTTATGAAAATAGAGGTATTCCAAAATCCAAAAAATTATAATAGGGATAATCAACCTATACATATTTCATTATGTGTTTGTATTGATGGTCTTTAAATGACATATTTTAATGACTTGTGACCATTGTGCACAGGGACATTCATTGTTGGTGAAAGCCTTGTCTCAAGTGTATGAAAAAGTCTGTGGAAGAAAGATTGACCCCTTCACGGACATCCTGGTAACAGTAGGAGCGTATGGTTCTCTTTTTAGTGCAATTCAAGGACTCATCGAAGTAGATGATGAAGTAAGTATTATTGTGCATCCCAAAATGCACATAACTGTTGAATGTGTTAACCATCTATTAATTTTATTGCAAATACATAGTAACTTTGGGGTTCTTTCCAAGTGCTAGGAGTAAATGCTTGTAAAAGGTGATAGACTCTATAATTAACTATTACAATTATTTATTGTGCTCTGAAGGCTAAAAACAGGGCAATTTTCTTTAAAATAAGCCATATTTCTAACATTGTTTTTCCCAATTGTTTACTATTAGTTTTCAGCTCACTAAATCTTTTTCCTTGATTGTGTCAGATAGTGATGGAAAAATCCAAGCTATCTGGTTATTTGGGCAGAAATAATTGCTCAGGCCTGGACACTTGAATTTTTTTTTTAACTTTAGTCTCAATCCTTTTTGTGAGATTATTTCAGTCTGTAAAGAAAACACATCTTCCTGTAATTAATGTAATATTGATAGCTTTATCCATATTAAGGATGGGATAAGTTCAGAAGCAAAACAAAACCACCTTGTTTAGGATAAAATTGGTAATGAAATAGTGTTATGTTTCTCTTCTGCATTTTGCTTTCTTACTCCTTCAGTATTTATGGAAAGAGCACAGTTTTGGTCTCATTATAAATCTTTTCTATTGTTTTCTAGCATACAGAATGCAGTTGTTTACATTCATACTTATATCAATTTAAAAAGGAAATATAATAACTATAGACCTGCTCTAGCCTTATCATCAGGGGACTCAATTTTCACTCCTCGTACCCTATTATCATTAAATCCCCTTCCATTCTTTTACAGTATTCCACAAATAAGTTCCAATATCTCTCAAAAGAATTCTGAGATCTATCCCTTAATAAATATGTTAATTTATCAATTTCTGTTACTTTCAGTACTTTTTTAAAGCCAGTGTTCACTTGGTCTATCAACACTTTTATAATATTTATTGTAAACTATTTGTGCTGCTGTCACCATATGTCGTATTAGGTTTCCATGTGCTATTTTTAATGTAATAATAATAATAATAATAATACACTTTATTTATAACCCGCTACCATCTCCCCAAAGGGGACTCTGTGCGGCTAATATGAGGCCAAGCCCAAAATAATACAACATAATAAACACACAGTAACAAAATACATCATAACAAAATATAAAATAACAAAATCATCAATTTTAAACAGTATATTAAAACCAGACACGGAGGGCGGGCCAAATGTGTGAGGTAAAATGTTAAAAAAGTTAAAACCCTGGGTGAGAATCTTCCTCAAAAATCCCAAGTAAAAAAACCCCTGGTTTTAATTCTAATTCAGCTTTTAATTTTTTATATGAAATCTAATCATCACCCAACATTTATAAATTTATACTTAATTGTATTTAGAATGATTACAGAGTACAGAAATAAACTGTTTATTTAAGTTACTTTTATCTAGGTTAGAGGGAATAATAATGCCATGTAGAGTTATAAACCTTTAAGTTAGAAGTCATTTTAATATTTTTTGTTTTGTTTGTTTAGCATATGCTTTATTATTGTGTGTGGTTTGGTTTTTGTTTTGTTTATTTCAGTTATTTCTTTGAATTCAATAAAGTTTATTAAAATAAAGAATAGGGCTGGGTTGCTGTGAGTTTTCTGGACTGTATGGCCATTTTCCAGAAGCATTCTTTTCTGATGTTTCACTCCCTTCTATGGCAGACATCCTCATAGGTTGTGAGGTCTGTTGGAAAGTAGGCATGTGGAGTTTATATATCTGTGGAATGTTCATTTGGGGGAGGGGGGAGGCTGAGTTTGATTCGGGGGTGGGGGGGCTGAGTCTGAGTGAAAGAGGGTCTACCCTAGCAAACCTTTTGTATCGTTACCCCAATACCCCCATGCATATGGGATATATTGAGTATGGTGATCAGATCACGATATGAATAAACAGTTTAAATAATTCACCAGTAAGGCCTTCTCATGGACCACCATGAGAATTTCGGGGGGGGGGGGCTGAAGTCCCTCGAGCCCCCCCCCCCCCCCCCCAGCTACATGCCTTGTTGGGAGGTGTTAACTGGTCCTCATTGCGTCCCTGATTTTTGAATGTTGATCTTTATTTATTGTCCTGATTTTGGGGTTTTTTTTAATATTGATATCCAGATTTTGTTAATTTTCATGGTTTCCTCCATTCTGTTGTAATTGTCCACATGGCCAATTCAGTACTAATCAAGGTGGCCAGTTGCAACATTCACACTTGCCTCAAATGGACAAGAGTTCTTTCTCCCACCCTGGACATTATTCCACAGATATATAAACCTCACTTGCCTAGTTTCCAACAGACCTCACAACTTCTGAGGTTGCCTGCCATAGATGTGGGAGAAACATCGGGAGAGAATGCTTCTGGAATATGGCCATAGAGTCCGGAAAACTCACAGCAACCCAGTGATTCTGACCATGAAAGCATTTGACAATACAAAGAATAGGATTGTTGTCCTCTGATCTCTGATTTACTGCACCATTTTCCACCTTCTCTCATATTTTCCTTACATTAAAAACTATCAGTTGATTTAGTGTTCAATAGTGAGTCCTAGAACATTTAGTATTTAAAATACTCTCTGTACTTGCTGGCTCAGCCAGTGCAGCTCTGAGTGCTGTGTGCTTTCCTTGATACATTCAATTTTTATTGTATCAGATCGACTATAGTTTATGTCTTTGAAAAAAAGGCGTATGGATCACTTAAAAAAATTCTTATCCAGATAAAATTTCTTATCTGTCCGAACGGATCTCCCCCTACGTCCCCACCTCGGAATCTAAGATCTTCTGGGGAGGCCCTGCTCTCGACCCCGCCTCTATCACAAGTGAGATTGACGGGGACGAGGAGCAGGGCCTTCTCGGTGGTGGCCCCTCACCTGTGGAATTTACTCCCCAGGGAAATTAGATCAGCGACATCCCTCCTTTCCTTTAGGAAAGAATTGAAAACATGGATTTGGGACCAGGCATTCGGACAATCTGGCAGATAAAGAAAGGACTTTGACGATGGACAGGAATTGACTAAGTGGAATGGAATTATGGAACTCTGAGATTAGTTTTATTATGGAATTATGGAACTCATGAGATTAGTTTTATTGATAGTGTTATATACCGAATGTTTTAACTGTGATAATTGTTTTAACTGCTATTTTGTACGTATGTGTATTTTGTGTAGGCATCGAATTGTGCCTTTTTTGTAAGCCGCCCTGAGTCCCCCCTCGGGGGTTGAGAAGGGTGGGGTAGAAGTACTCGAAATAAATAAATAAATAAATAAATAAATAAATCCATCTAGTTTCCTTATATTTTAGGTGATAATAATAGAACCTTTCTATGACTGCTATGAACCCATGGTGAAGATGGCTGGAGGAAGACCTGTTTTTATACCTTTGAGACATGTGAGTGTGTTTTTAATACTATAGCATTCAGATTGTTTAGGGAGAAAAATTAAAAAAGATTCAACTCTTTTTATTTAGAGTGCTGTAATATTTCTTTCATTTTGTTGTTTGGATCTGGATTTAAAAAGAGTAAAGGTTTCCCCTGACATTAAGTCTAGTTGTGTCTGACTCTGGGAGGTGGTGCTCATCTCCATTTCTAAGCCAAAGAGCCGGCATTGTCCTTAGACACCTCCAAGGTTTGGTGGCCAGCATGACTTCATGGAGTGCCATTACCTTCCTGCCAGAGTGGTATCTATTGATCTATTCAAATTTGCATATTTTCAAACTGTATTTTGCTACTGTGTGTTTACTATGTTGTATTATTTTGGGCTTGGCCTCATGTTAGCCGCACCAAGTCCCCTTTGGGGAGATGGTAGTGGGTTATAAATAAAGTGTATTATTATTATTATTATTATTATTATTATTATTATTATTGACAGAAGCTGGGGCTAACAGTTGGCTCTCACCCTGCTCCCCAGATTTGAACCACCACCAGGGGGCTACCAGGGGATCTAGCATCTACACACAGAAAGTTTCCATGGCTTTGTCATTGGGAAATAAGCAATTCCACACATGTTTGTGTTCATTTTGTTAGCATTGAGAATAAACAGTTTACTGTTACATTCTTATAACATTATATGTCTTTGAAGCAATGGAGCATAAAAATAATATATTTCAGCTAACCAATATTTATATTTTTATATCCTAGAAATCTGCAGCTGCAGATGTTGCATCTAGTGCTGATTGGGTTTTGGATCCTGCCGAACTTGCGAGTAAATTCAGTTCTAAGACCAAAGCTATTATACTGAATACTCCTCACAATCCTATAGGAAAGGTGAGACTCCAGCTTCTCAGTCTGTCAGTTGAGTGGAATAAAATCGCTGGCTTAGAACATATTTATCAATATGCCATTTCCTTGTGCTTTCTTCAAGGTCTATACAAAAGAAGAGCTCCAAATAATTGCTGATCTCTGTATTAAACATGACACCCTGTGCATCAGCGATGAGGTCTATGAGTGGATGGTATACACTGGCAACAAACACATCAAAATAGGTACTGTATAACTTGAAATTGCACATTATGTTTCTGATGTAATTGCTTATTTGTATAATACACATGTTACAAAAAGCCTTTTTGCTAATGATTGGAAAAAATGTTTGTTACCTCCCAAATAAGTGTTAAATTGGATGATTTTGAATATACAGTATGACACCTGTATCTGTATGGGTTGGATGAATAAACCTCAGGAAGTATACATTCTAGATTCATTTTAGCATGTCATGGATTGGAAAAAAGAAAGCCCCAAATCACTTTCCTGTCCCCAGTTTCCCTACCCCAGGGATAGGAATTGTGCAGTTTTCCAGATGTTGTTAAACTACAACCTCTATCATTTTTTGCTGTTGTCTATGTTGGCTAGAGCTGCTTGGAGTTGTAATCCAGCAATATTAGAAGGACCGTATAGTTCCTGCGTCTCTGTACTAGCTTACCTCCATTGTAAGAAAATGTTCTTTGCTAAAAAGAACTGTTTCATTTTCATAAAGTATTTGAATTTTTAAAATAGTAGAATAGAAATGAGAGCCAGTTGTCAGGATTTGGAAATTACCTGATTGCAGAGTTAATACCTCTTGCCTAACCACCCATAAAAGAGTTAAGCCACTGTAATTAGGGTGTGGTGGTTCATGTAATGGGAGTAGTATATATCTTGTAGTTATACTGAATAAGTTTGACGAGGGATGTTGAGGGATGGATGTTGTTTTGGAGAATTGCTGATGTGAGTAGCAAGGAAGAAGAAGCTGTAAAGTTTCTATATTTTGTATATACAGTATATACTCAAGTATAAGCCGACCTGAATATAAGCTGAGGTACCTAATTTTACCACAAAAAAACTGGGAAAACATATTGATTCGAGTATAAGCTGAGGGTGGGAAATGCAGCTGCTACTGGCAAATTTCAAAATAAAATAGATACCAATAAAACTACATTAATTGAGGCATCAGGTTAAATATTTTTGAATATTTGCATAAAATTGTAATTTAAGATAAGACTGTCCAACTCTGATTAAACCATTCTACCCTTCTTCAGTGTAAATGTGCCTATGTATCTGTCCAATAATAATAGAATAAAAATAAATATAATAATAATAATAATAAATAGAGTAAAATAATAAATGTAATCATAACAATAATAGATTAAAATAATGTAAATGTAATCATAATAATAATAGAGTAAAATAATATATGTAATAATAATACATAGAAAGAAATAATAGATATAATAATAGAGTAAAATAAAGTAAATATAATAATAATAATAATAATAATAATAATAATAACAACAACTACTACTACTACTACTACTACTACTACAGAGTAAAATAATAAATAACCTTGACGCACGTATAAGCCAAGGGGGCTTCTTCAGCCTTAAAGAAGGGCTGAAAAACTCAGCTTATACTCAAGTAAACATGGTACTTTATGTACTGCTACAACAAAGAACAAAGAAAAGCCTTCTGCTTGTGTGGGAAAGAACAAAAGTCTCTGTGTATTTTTTTGTTTGAGTAGAAGACCATTGCAACTGTGTTTTTGGATACCTGGTTGCTTAACTGGAACTAATTGTCACTTCCTCAAGAACAGCATGGAATAGTAGTATGGAATATGAGTCTGGAGACCAGGATTCAAATCTTTGTTCAGCCATGGCAACACACTGGATGTCCTTGGAGAGGTCACAGTCTCTCAGCCTCAGGAAGGCAATGGCAACCCGCCTCACCCCCTACCAACCCCAGAGATCCCTTTGTTCTGAGGACCAAATCTATTGGAAGTCCCCAGTGTCAAGACCTTGCGTCTAACATCAACCAGACGCAGAGCCTTCACAGCAGTGGCACCATCACTCTGGAATACTCTGCCACCTGAAGTCCGTGCCTTGCGGAACTTACCAGCTTTCCGCAGGGCATGTAAGACATACCTGTTTCGACAGGCTTTTAATGTTTGATATTGTTGTTTTTAAATTGCTTTTAAATTTTGTTAGATTTTAGCCATTCTTGTAAGCCGCTCCGAACCCCAGGGGAGTGGCGGCATATAAATTCAAATAATAAATAAATAAATAAACAAACAAACCCCCCTCTGGACACATTTGCCAAGAAAATCCCAGTGACAGGTTCGCCTTACAGTCGTCATTAAATTGGAAACTAAGTGAAGGCATAGACATAATTCAGAAGCATAAGACTTACTTTATTAGAACATATTTCTTTAGACATCTTTTAATTTGCAGATTTCTTAATTCTATTCCTTTTAAAGGTTTGGCTTCAGGTAATTTGCTATTTAAATGTGCAGTTATGTATATGAATTGTTTGTTGAATATACATACACATGAACACTCAGGATGCCCGAAGAACCATTCCAACAGACATTAGAGGAAACAAAAAAACCTTAGTTGTTTCATTGGCATCCTCGTTTTCTGATTCATGATTAATACATTCCTTATAGCTGAAAGGTGTTTTTATCGTGCAGCAAATAATGTGCACGGATGCTAGTGATAACCAGTTTTCTCATGAATGATTATCAGCCAGAAGTGTTTATTTGCTTGGATATTCTGGAACAGCTTTCTAATCTTTCATCTCACCTACAAACCATAAAACCTACATGCAGGTGACAGTTATTTTTTATCAACTGACTTCCCCTCCAAGCCTTTCTTTTCGCAGCTTTAGTATAACTTGTATACAAAGGACACAGATTGATCCCTAGCAGCGGGTGTTGTATTAAACTTCACTAGTTCTATCAACCCAAGTGACACATCTCTCATGAAAAATGCAAAATGGATATCACATCAATTTAGCGCATCTGGTAGTGGTACTTTAATGCTCATCTAATAGGAGTTGCCAGTGACATATCGTAAAATTCGCATGGTGTGTGTGCAATCAACTCGGCAGTTTTCTCTTGTGTAGAACACTTCATCACATCTCTTATCTGGTTTGTGCGAAATGGAGGCTTTGTGGGACTAATGATTAGAGTTCCTCTGACAGATTTAAAGTCTGGATATTGTAAGTGAGGACTCTCTTGACATCTCAACAAGGAAAGAGCCAATTTGGATCATATATATATGCGCATGTGTGAATATCACCTTCCTAATTAATGTGTTTGGATACAATAAAACATTCCGTCCCACTATAGTGTAATGAGATGAGTTTCTCACAGAGCAGTCCTCTTCTTCATTCTAAAGGTAATGCTAATATGCAGAAAATAGTTAATCTAATTCTGTTAATGAAATTGATTTTATTTTATGAGTATTATCCAACATAGCCTCTTGAAAATTGTGTTATTTAGATGTTTGCTTTGCCAATGTCTTATTTTTCTATAGATTTGCTAAATGATATTCGGCACTAACTAGGCTAAGAACTGTGCATTACAAGCAACATGGGAATACAGAGTATGTGTCTTCTGTTTTCTGTGTATGCTTAGCAACATTTTAAATTAGGATCTCATTAGGCTGCATTCTTTCCAATATAAATGCTCATAAATGTGATGTGTGGCTGGCAAAATTCACGACATGATTATATTATAGCATGAGTAGGTGATATAACATAATCATGTCATGAATTTTGCCAGCATGAGTAGGTGCAAGGAGCCCCTGGTGGTGCAATGGGTTAAACCCTTGTGCCGGCAGGACTGCTGACTGAAAGGTTGGCGGTTCAAATCCAGGAAGCGGGGTGAGTTCCCATTTGTCAGCTCCAGCTTCTCATGCAGGGACATGAGAGAAGCCTCCCATAGGATGGTAAAACATCCTGGCGTCCTCTGGGCAATGTCCTTGCAGATGGCCAATTCTCTCACACTAGAAGCGATTTGCAGTTTCTTGAGTCACTCCTGACCAAAAAAAAAAAAGCATCGGTAGGTGCTGCTACATATTTCTGGGGGACTGATTTTTAGTGATATCCCTGTGATTACCCTTATACTGGTACGATATTCTTGTGGATTTTGTTTCCTGCACCTCCATGTAGCAGTTACGAAAAAGGTTATCATTTCATATTATTACTTTTAGATTAATATCTGTAACTCAGTACATATCAGATTGTTCTCCCAAAAGGAGATTGGTGTTCAACCTGAGCAATATGGAGTGGACGAAATAATAGGAGAAATGCCACCCAAAATAATACCTGGCTACGCTAAATGAATACAAGTCTCCAGGGCCAGATGAACTACATCCAAGAGTATTGAAGAGCTAGCAGAAGTCATTTCAGAACCACTGGCAATATTTTTTTGAGAATTCTTGGAGAACAGGACAAATCCCAGCAGACTGGAGGAGGGCAAATGTTGTCCCCATCTTCAAGGAGGGGAAAAAAGAGGACCCAAACAATTACTGTCCAAACAGCCTGACATCAATTCCAGGAAAGATTCTGGAGCAGATTGTTAAGGAGGCAATCTGCAGTCACTTAGAAAGGAATGCTGTGATTACTAAAAGTCAGCATGGAAATTGTCACAAACAAGTCATGCCAGATGGATCTCTTTTTTCGATAGTGTTACAAGCTTGGTAGATGTAGATGCTGTGGATGTAGCATATTTTGATTTCAGTAAGACCTTCAACAAGGTCCCCCATAACCTTCTAGTAAACAAATTAGTCAAATATGGGCTGGACAATACTACTATTAGGTGGATCTGTAATTGGTTAAGTGACCCAACCCAATACTTCCTCTTCATTCAAGTGACAAGTGGAGTTTTGCAAGGTTCAGTCCTGGGCCCAGTACTGTTCAACATTTTTATTAATGACTTAGATGAATCTTTAGGGGGCATGCTTATCAAGTTCACAGATGATAACAAATTAGGAGGTATAGCTAATACTCTAGCAGGATCAGAATTAAAAATGATCTTAACAGATTAGAGAGATGGGTCAAAACTCACACAAAGAATTTCAGTGAGGATAAATGTAAGATACAGTACTTAGACCGAAAAAATAAAATGCAAAGATCCAGAATGGGCGATGCCTATCTTGACAGCACTCCGTGTGATCTTGGAGTCTTAGTGGACAAGTTGAACATGAGCCAACAGTGTGATGCAGCAGTTTAAAAAGCCAATGGGATTTTGGGCTGCAACAAAAGGGGTATAGTGTCCAGCTTGAGGGAGGTCATGGTGTCTTTCTATTCTGCTCTGGTTAGACCTCAACTGAAATACTGTGTAGTAGAGATGTGCGAAACTTGGGCGTTGTTTTGGGTTTCAGGCGAATTTGGCAATTTGTAGATACGAACCACCAAAATAAAACAGGGGAAGCCATCCAAAACAGAACAACTGGGCTCGGAGTGATGGATTCAAATTACAGGAAAGGAGATTCCAACTGAACATTAGGAAGAACTTCCTGACTGTAAGAGCTGTTCAGCAGTGGAACTCTCTGCCTTGGAGTGTTGTGGAGGCTCCTTCTTTGGAGGCTTTCAAACAGAGGCTGGATGAACATCTGTCGGGTACTTTCTGCTTTTCCTTCATCACAGGGGGTTGGACTATTCTATGATCCAAAAAGATGACTGTTTTCATCTTTCTTGAAGTCAGATTCTCATTAACTATGAGATGCTAAAATGTGGATAGTGGTGTTTGGCTCTGATTCTACTCTGGGTTTTAATCCAAACTCATAGTGCTAAAATATTCTCTGTCTACTTTCTTGAGTAGCTCTTTCAGACCCTATGTACACTGCCATATGATCCAGTTTCTGAATCCAGATTATCTGCTTTGAACTGGATTATATGGAAGTGTAGACGTATGTAATATAATCCAGTTCAAAGCAGATAATCTGGCTTCTGAAACTGGGTTATGTGGCAGTGTAAAAGGAGCCCCAGAGCAGATGCACCTTCCCATTGAAGTGAAAGTGTAAGGTGTTACCAAAATCTCCATAAATACTAAATGTGTTTGACTGTAAGCAAGAAAGCTTCATACTGACATGTATGTTAAAGTTTATAAAATATACGCAATTAACTCTAGGATTTTTTTTAACAAACAGCGACTTTACCTGGCATGTGGGACAGAACAGTAACTATAGGAAGTGCTGGGAAAACATACAGTGCCACTGGCTGGAAGGTAAAGAGACAACAGTAAGAGACAACATGTATGCAGTGGTGATTATGTCACTTGCAAATTGCAACACTTGAAAACTGTTATATACAATATACATAATATATTGAAAAACATCAATTTAGAAGACTATAGACTTTTAAAATTTTTAATAAAAGTAAAGGTTTCCCCTGTTATTAAATCTAATTGTGTCTGACTCTGTGGGGTGGAGCTCATCTCCATTTCTAAGCCAAAAAGCTGGCATTGTCCATAGACACCTCCAAGATCACGTGGCTAGCATGAATGCATGGAAGGCCATTAACCTTCCTGCAGAAGGCATGTTTTTGCATGTTTTTGAACTGCTGGGTTGGCAGAAGTTGGGCCTAACAGCGGGAGCTCACCCCACTCCCTGGATTTGAACTGCCAACCTTTTGGTCAGCAAGTTCAGCAGCTCAGTGGTTTAATCCGTTGTGGCACTTTAAAAACCAAGGGAGGAGTTCTCAGATATTGTTTTTGTAATTGTTTTAAAATGTTTTTGCCTTTAAATTCACCCAGCACCCTCTATAAAGTTTCTGCCCCCCATTGGACCAGGAGAACTCTTTTTTAAAAAAATCAAGAAGGAACTTTTAAAATGGCACAGGCAGGTTTAAAATATGGCTGAAATGGCCCCATGCCTAGAGAGGGCATTTGGGGACAAAATGTTGGTTTGTTTTTCAGAGAAGAGGTGTGTCCCTCTAAGATACTTAGTGGGGCAAATACAGCTTCCTAGATTCCAACAGTTGCCACTCCTGTTTCAAACAGTCAGTAGTATGTTTAAATATTGACTTGTTCAGCTCTAGTGAATAATTAGAAGGGCACACAGAAGGGCACACAGGAAACATTTTGTAAGTTGGAGAAAGACTTGTTCCTCTTCCTCCTCCTCCCTCTCCTTGCCTGTCAGTAGTCCATAAATGACTGGTGGGTATGAGCAAGAAAATATTTCTGTATTTAGTAACTTAAGTAAACTTACCTACTATGTTGAAGTAGCATACTCATAGCATTAGTTTAAGATATTGGCCACAGTTTATATGATTATTAGACTTTGCCACAGTGTCCACACTCTGGTTACATTGAGAGTAGATTACTGCAATGTGCTCTACGTGGGGTTGCCTTTGAAGACGGCCCTTAAGTTTCAATTAGTCCAACGGGTGGCAGCCAGATCCCTAACTGGGGTGGCATACAGGGAGCATACTACTCCTCTGTTATGTCAGCTCCACTGGCTGCCAGTCTGCTACCAAGCCCAATTCAAAGTGCTGGTGTTGGCCTATAAATCTCCAAACCAGTGTTTCTCAATCTGTGGGTCCCCAGATGTTTTGGCCTACAACTCCCAGAAATCCCAGCCAGTTTACCAGCTGTTAGGATTTCTGAGAGTTAAAGGCCAAAACATCTGGGAACCCACAGGTTGAGAACCACTGCCCTAAATGGTTCTCGTTCAACTTACCTGTCTGAACGCATCTCCTTCTATGAGCCTACAAGAGCTTTAAGATCGGCTGAGGAGGCCCTTCTCTCCGTCTCAACCTTTCGCAAGTGCGATTGGTTGAGACAAGAGACATGGCCTTCTCAGTGGTGTCCCCTCAGCCGTTGAACTCCCTCTCCAGTGACATCAGGTAGTCCCCATCTCTCCTGGTTTTTAGGGGGAAAAAACTTAAGACCTGGTGTTTGGTGAATAGGAAACGACGGGATGAGACTTATTTAAGCTGACAGAATCAGCTTAAATAATGGACTATAGATTTTGGAAAATTATTATGGATATGAGATCATGGCTTGGCATTTTATATGGTTTTTAATATGTTTGAATGATTGATATGTGTTTAATTGCATATCTGTTTGGATTGTTTTATATTTTGATGAGATGTGTTTTATTGTTTACCTGTGTGACATTTAATTTTTGCTGGATTTGTAAGCCACCTTGAGTCCCCTCTGGAGTTGAGAAAGGCAGGGTAGAAATGAAGTAAATAAATAAATATATTTATTCCATTTTCTACACTTTTATTTTTATGTTTTAAATAAATAACCAAATACTTACAATAATTTGTATCTTTTTGTTTAAGCTTGGCTGGTCTATTGGCCCTCAACATCTGATAAAGCATTTGCAAGTTGTTCATCAAAATACACTCTATACATGTGCAACTCCATTACAGGTAAGTACGGGTGCATACAAAGGAAATGGACCATTTTGTAAAGAACCTGATATAATCTATTCCAGTGGTTCTGAACGTGTGGGTCCCCAGATGTTTTGGCCTTCAACTCCCAGAAATCTTAACAGCTGGTAAATTGGCCGGGATTTCTGGGAATTGAAGGCCAAAACACCTGGAGGCCCACAGGTTGAGAACTACTGATCTAGGCTGTATTAGAAATTGGTTAGTGAGGGGCGTTTTAGTGCGAACTGAATGGACCAACTGGAAGCTGACACTTTAGTGTCAGTAACATGGAGATTTTTTCATAAGAAAACTGACCAAACACATAAAAGCAAGGAGTTGGGGTGGAGTAGAGTTTTTCAATACAGGCAATCCCTGAGATACAAACATACAACTTACATATGACTCTTAATGACAAACGGGGGTGAAGCTAATGTTAGAACCTAGTAAATTGTTGAGGCTTGTGTTTTCTTTGAAAGTGAACTCTTATTGAGGAGAGCTGTGTGGAGCGACATAGTTCATGAAGAAACAGTTGAAGTTTATAATGTTTAATATACAAACTCTCCAAATGTTTTTGAAGTATTTTAACTCTCAAAAGAAATGTGCCTGTATCATTAAATGCATGAAGTTATAAGTAAACAAATATTGTTATTCTAAAAGATGTCAAAAAAATCAAGGAATACATCTCTCAAAGTCTGCCACCCCTAATGGGTAGCGATCCTAAGAGGCTGTGATCCATCTATTATCCCCAATAAAGGTGGGCCTTTATGAGGCATAGTTAATGCCTACTTCTTTTTGCTAACTATTTCGATGTGGTTTTCTTTTCTTTTATAATTTGATTTCTTAGGAGGCTCTCGCACAAGCCCTTTTGATAGACTTGAAACGCATGGATGATCCAGAGTGTTACTTCTACTCATTGCCCAGAGAGCTGGAAGGCAAACGGAACCGAATGGCCCAGATGCTCCTGGAAGTTGGGCTGAAACCTGTTGTTCCAGAGGGAGGCTATTTCATGATTGTTGATGTATCTTCACTAAGTTAGTGACCTTTTAATCTATGACGGGAACATGGAGAAGATATATTCCAGAAATATAGCCAGTATTGTGAAGCAGTAGATGAGAAAGTACAAATAGTGATGATTTCAGGATTTAAGTAAGTTTTCATTATATGAGACAAGGGTAAAAGAGGCAGACTTAAGTTGTGGATTCCATTTTTTTGGATTAGCCTTTTCATTTATTATAATTTCTAGCTCAGCCTTTCAGTACAGCTTTGGCACAGTCCTGAAAGAAAAAAACACAATGTTTATCTGAAATGCTTGGGACCAGAATTGTTTTGGGTTTTGCTTTCACAAGGCCCTTGCGAAAAAGGCAAACTTAATAGACACTTTCCTGGCTATCCATATACTTATTTATTTATTTATTTCCAACATTTGTCCCCCTTCCTTCTCAACCCCCGAAGGGGAACTCAGGGCAGCTTACAATGGCAACAATTTGATGCCAACACATACAGAATACATACACAATATATCACAACATTGCACATTAAATAAAACCATTAAGTTGAAATCCATTTTAAAAACATTATTAACAACCATTTAGTCAAATCCAATCCAATTCAGCGTCCCAAGACTTTGTCAGAGCCTGTCCATTGCCAGTTCACATAAACATTGCAATTGCCATCAAGCCTGCTTTCCACCATTTTAGAAAAGTTGCCTTCATAGTTGGGAAGGGAGGAAAAGTCCAAGTGGATCAGAGCACTGCCAGCAGCAGCCAAGCAAAATGCCCCTTTTTAGTGCAGATGGATGCGGACTTTTCCCTCCTTACTAGCTACAATGGCTATGGCAAATGAGTGAAATTTGACTCAATCCACTTGGACTTTCTCCTCCCTTCCCAGCCACAAGTATCACTTTCCTAAAAGGGTGGAAAGTGTGCTGGCATTAGGAGAAGTATCTGAGACATCTGGGACCTTCTATGAGCAGAGCTGCAGGAACTGGAATCCTTCTAGACTTTTCTCTTTCCTCCATCGGTTGGAACAAGGACTTCTTGAAGAAAACCTGAGCTAGTAATGGACGTGTAATTCACCCTCTTTCCCCAAAGATGATAATCGGCAGCTGATGGCAAAATGTTTGGGGTTTTAGTGTTTTCTGGTTTCCAAATAAGAGAGGCTCAGTCTGTACAAGATATTACAGTTGTTCTCATACTGATGGTTTGCTTTCCTACACTGTTCCCTGAGGCCTTCAAACCTCTTTATTCAGAAATATCCATACTTTTTAAAGTCATTCTGATCAAAACATTTTAATTTTGGTTATTTCATTTAAAGATGTGGATCTATCTGACATGGAGAAAGATAAACCTTATGACTATAAATTTGTGAAATGGATGATGAAATCCAAGGTAAGTCTTTGTTGTTGCTCTATCTTCCTTCTCTTTTGCTAAAACTAGTGCAATTAATTGCAATACTATGTGAGATTGTAAAAAGGTTGTCTTCTGTTGTTCTTGCACAACTCTTCTCTTATCTCTTTGAAAACAGAAGTCCTGGTGTTTGTCTGGTATTTGCCTGAACTTGCCAATTGTCTCTGGGTTAGACACAGCTACAATGTAAAGAGCAATCGTCTCCTTTCCTTCTTGGCTTGGAGAATAGAATTGGGAACTACTGCTTTAAATGTCTATAAATATACTGATTTACGGTGCAGTTCTGTTCATGTCTACACAAGATTACCTCCCTGATGAAGTATGCATACTGCAAGTGTGTGAAAACATAATGAGTATGTATGAGGTGAGCAGGTAATCATGTTTTGTCATTTCAGAAACTGTCAGCTATTCCTCTGACTTCATTTTGTGGCCCAGCAACAAAAGAACAGTTTGAGAAATACATACGCTTTTGCTTCATCAAAGTAAGTTCTGCAGCCCGAACTTTAGAAATGTTTAAATGCATTTTACAGTTCTGTCTGTTAATCCTTGACACAATAATAATATTGGTTGAGGGATTTTGGGAACTGTAGTTTAAAAGATAACATGCTGATCTGTTTTGATATTGGAAACTGAGCTTTCCAATATTAAAATATTTTAATATTGATTTTAATAATAATTTATTGTGGTCAAATTATTTTTCAATCTATTTTCATCATTTCCCCTAAATGCTTAAAGACCAGAAATATGGGTAATAGTTAGGGTGCTTTTAATCATTCTAAATTGAGTACCTTGATTTTGGGTGACATAATGTAATTATAGAGCTGTACTATAGACAGTGATCACAAGGTTCTTCTAGTTCACATGGCTCCTGGTGCCTCAAATAGTAATTTGTCAAACTTAAAAAAAAAAGGAAATCTTCAGATAAATCGTCCTCGATAGGCGTCTAGTCCCTGTTTAAAAACCTCCAAAAGAAGAGAGTTCACATTTTCCAGCTAGTTTGTTCTACAATTGCAATGCTTGCCATTAGGATATCATTATGTGAAATTACTCTCATTATGTTCTTCCTATATTTCAATTAAATCAATTAAAATAACACGTTTCCCCATTCCTCAGGTGGATGATTTGGCAAGCAAAAGAGGGGGAAAATATAGAGTTGGCATGAGGACAGATGAGTTTGGTTCATAGAATCACAGTTTAAAAGAACCTTAAGGGACCCTTCTGTCAATGAAGAAATAGAAAGGAAAACAATTCAGTGAATTGATAATCTCTATTTAAAAACCTTCAAAGTTGTAGTTGTTCTCATCCCTCCATTTCTCTCTCTGTGTGAAGCAGTATATCTCCAGCAGTATCTATGGAGTCTTGCAGGCGTAAATCATTGCAAGGGATTTTCTTCCCCGTAAGTGTTATGTGGGGATATTTGTTGTTGTTTATTCGTTTAGCCGCTTCCGACTCTTTGTGACCTCATGGACCAGCCCACGCCAGAGCTCCCTGTCAGCTGTGGTCACACCCAGCTCCTTCAAGGTCAAGCCTGTCACTTCAAGGATACCATCCATCCATCTTGCCCTTGGTCAGCCCCTCTTCCTTTTTCCTTCCATTTTCTCCAGCATCATTGTCTTCTCTAAGCTTTCCTGTCTTCTCATTATCTGGCCAAAGCACTTCATCTTTGCCTCTAATATCGTTCCCCCCAATGAGCAGATGGTCTTTATTTCCTGGAGTGTGGACTGGTTGGATCTTCTCGTGGTCCAAAGCACTCTCAGAATTTTCCTCCAGCACGTCTTGTGGTCCAAATACTAGCATCTATCTTTCTTCACTCAGGCTTCCTTATGGTCCAACTCTCTCATCCATAGGTTACTACAGGGAATACCATTGCTTTGACTATGCGGATCTTCATTGCCAGTGTGATATCTCTATTCTTCACTATTTTATCAAGATTGGTCATTGCTCTCCTCCCAAGAAGTAAATGTCTTCTGATTTCCTTGCTGTAGTCTGCGTCTGCAGTAATCTTTGCACCTAGAAATACAAAGTCTGTCATGGCCTCCACATTTTCTCCCTCTATTTGCCACTTATCAATAAGTCTTGTTGCCATAATCTTGGTTTTTTGATGTTTAACTGCAACCCAGCTTTTGCACTTTCTTCTTTCACCTTGGTTAGAAGGCTCCTCAGCTCCTCCTCGCTTTCAGTCACCAAAGTGGTATCATCTGCATATCTAAGGTTGTTAATGTTTCTACGATAAAACCAAAATCTTGGCGTTTGGGAAAAGCAACAAAAGACAAGTCTGGAAGATAAAGGGCCACTATATTGAGCAAGTAAAACATTTCAAATACCTAGGTCTCTGGTTTAGCAACAACTTGTCATGGTCCACCCACTTAAAATATACACTGGCCCGGGCCAAATCGAGTGGCAGTGCAACCAGGAGGTTCTTCCACTCCAGGGGTAATCAATATATCCCCCTAGCTCTGCAAGTCTTCAAAGCAAAGGCGATGTCACAACTTCTCTATGGAGCACCCATCTGGTTAACCCCCAATAACAGCGCCATCAGATCTTTTCATTCGAAATTCCTCCACAAACTATATGGTGCCCCCAACTGTGTCCCGTATGCAGTTCTTTGTCTTGAATCTGGGCAATATTCTATTGAGGCTACTATCTGGCTAATCGTCATCAAATTTTGGCTATCTATACACTATCAAAGTCCCAGCGACTCTCTGACTCAACTCACCTTGAGCGAACTCCACCACTCCAAATGGTGCTCAACTGTCCTAGCAAAGATCGGGGAATTGGGCTACGACAGCGATTTCCTGACTCTACTATCTTTTACCGAGATTTTTACCCTCATCAAAAGGAGGCTGCTAGAAAGGGACCACAACCAATTGTTGAGCTTGGCAAACAAATCCTGCTCACCTATTAACTTGGCAATCCCATACACACAGGGAAATCCAGCCTTTTACATCACGGAGCTCACCAACCCCTCTTACAGAAGAGCCTACATGCTGGCTAGATTTAACATCATGCCATCGCCGCTCCATAGAGGAAGACTCAATGGCCTCCCGAGCGACAAGAGGGTCTGCCTCTGCAGCACAGGACAGCTAGACTCCATACCGCATATTCTCCTGCACTGTCCACTCTACCAGGAGCTAAGATCCAGCCTGCTAACACAAGCTATAGATTCACTGAAGAACCGCAGTGATTCTGACAAAGTGATTTTGCTTTTAAATTGCCAGGACTTTAGCTGCTGCCTTTCAGTGGCAAGATTCCTGAATGAAGTCTGCAAACTGAATGTGTAGCAAACGAGAAGCCCTTTTTTTATTACGTGTACTATGTTTTATACTCTCTGCCATGTTATGCCAATAAAGGCTTATTGTATTGTTGTATTGTTGTAAACCACACTTTTTTTGCTATTGCCCATGAAAAGGGGATTGTGGGAGTTAGAGCATAAGATAAGAAAAAGCTCTGTTTAAGACTGAGGGTTTAGCTGCAATGTACATTTCACAAACACATAAGTATGAACACTTCCTGCTAAAAGTACTTCAGATTTTAATTATAAGGTTCAACAGTTATATGTGTTGTTGCTTACCTTTACATATTTGGGTATTTTAATGGACATCGCTAGGTATTTTAATAGCTGGGTATTTTAATTGACAAGCAGAATGTTAAATCTGTTGCTGCCAAACTGCAGCAACAGATTTAACATTACTTTCCAGTTGTACAATCAGGAAGTTACAAACAAGATAGATTCTACAGGTTTGTTCTTAAGTTGAATTTGTATGTAAGTTGGAACAGGGACATTTTTAAGTGTAACTCCAGCCATATATATATATATAGCTAGCTAGCTAGCTAGCTAGCTAGACACACACACATACATATACATATACCACATACATATACACATATATACACACACACCCTTTGGATAGCATAGGGAAGGGTTAACACCCCAGTGGTGTTTGTTTTGCTTTCTGTGTCCCTGTTCACAAGATTTGACCTCACTTTTTGTCCTTGTGAGAATTGGATTTTGAAAAATGTGGCTTGTTGTGGAAACAAGGATTGGTGAGAAAGCTTCAGTGGAAACACCTTTTCCCATGATAACTCTTTCAGGTGTGAATTACCCTTCCTAGTGGGAGATTTCTTTCACTTCCTGTTGTCTCACCCCTGTTCTTAACTATGCATTATTTATAAGTTGAATGTTTGTAACTTGGGAACTGCCTATTTATTTGAAATGTTGTAATATTAAAATTAAGTTAGAGAATATTTATTTCACTCTTCCTTATTCTCTGGGATTGAAAAAAGAGGTATTCTTCTTTGTTGACCTGAGTCATGGTTTTGGGAATCTTGTAAAGCTAAGAAGTGTCAGCCATGATTAATACTTAGACGGGAGAGCACCAAAAAGTATAGGATGTTTTAGGCTATATTTCAGAAGAATGAACAAGCAAAACCACCTCTGAGTATTCCTTGCCTAAGAAAGCTATTAAACTCATGGGGTCACTAAAGGTGGACAGGTGACTTAAAGGTACACACAGAGCTTAGATTCACTTTCTTCTTCTAAATTCAGATAAGGAAGTACAAACCCAATCTGGATCGTGGATGTGAGAGATGTAAACCACCTGCCCCTTTGCCAGTTTTTATTTCAATTTTTTTCCTCTTGCAACAGTTGAGGTTCTTTTTTGCCATTTTAACCCCTTGCACTCTTGAGTAGGAAGGCAGGGGCCCTGCATTATGGTCCCGCTCTTGTTTGGGGCTGTGCAGATCTTATTTGCCTAAGAAAGCCTGGTAAAATCTATGGGACCGTCATAGGTCAATAAGTGACATTAAAGTGCACGCAAACACATATACACAAAATGATCGTGATGATCACTTTATTAGATCTGCTGTTCTGGTCAGTTTTTCTGGTACTGTTTTGGATTTGACATATTCATGTGTTATGTTTTCTTGCATTTCTATGAGCAGAGAGATTGTTATGCTCTAACATAACAACCAGTTTGAAAAATAACTCCCCCAGTGTTCTCCCCTGTCTTGAATTAATAATTGCTTTGTTTTTTTCTTGTTGCCAGAAAGACAGCACACTGGATGCAGCAGAAGTTATCCTGAAGAACTGGAGAAAACATTAACTTTGGAGTTAATGTTTTATGTCATTCACAAATGCATACAGTGGTACATTGAAAACGGTTTTGGCATTTCAAGCAAAGCAGTTTTTAAGAATTGCACTGTGCTGCCATCTGGTGGATATTTAAGTAGAGCTTAGGTTTTGTACATAGTCCTTTCTTTACACACCTCTGGTCCTCATGTGTGCTAATGAACACTTATATAAGCCTTGGTGGTTTGAAAGCCTTGGTGGTAGATGTTTAAGACAGATTGTCATTCAACTGGGCATGGTCATTTACAGGCCAGATTAGGATAGTATTACTATAGTTCATTGATTCCCAAACCCTGGTCCTCCAAGTGTTTTGCACTAAATATCCCATAATCTCATGACTATTTTATTTATTTACTTACTTCAAGGGCTTCTTCTCAGCCCTTAGGTGACTCAGAGTGGTTAACAACAATAGTTTCAGAATACACAATACAAAACCATTAGACATTTAAAAGCCATAACATCACAATAAATTAAACATCAACATCAATACATCAATATAATAATCCATCAGTTCTCATCAATAGAATCACCGTGACTCAAGAGATTTCCCTGCACAATAAATCTGGCGTAGTGGCGGGAGATGCTATCGACCTTTCCAAGGTCCTCTACCTTCTTAAACTGGCCGTGGGTTGCTCACCACTGCAGAATAAGCAGAGCCCTCTTCTCTCCGATGTAATAAAGGTGCATGAGGTCTTCCTTGGAGCCAGTATTGAAGATGGTCAAGAGGTTCTGTTTTCCTCGATCCACCTGGTCATTCCATTTATTCACCTCCTGCTCAGATGGATCCTTATTTTGGGCGGCAGCAGCCAAAGCCTTCCTTGTTCTTCTGATCTTCCGTGACATGTCAAAGATAAAGTTTTCCTCATCCTCCGACTCAGCTGCCTCCACTGGTGTCCCTTTGCCTTCCTGGAGAGGCGGCACAGTTGCTTTTTCCTGCAGTCCATGATGTTTTCCTTGCAGAATTCTCGCCTCCACATCAGTGCAGTCGGATCCTGTGGCCTCCTCTGGAGGGACCGGGCTCAAGAGAGGAGACGGGCTCCTCTGGTGACCTGCTGTGGGGGATTCTGGTTTTCGGGTCTGGATCTCCATGAACTGGGCGGCGCTGGTTTGACCTATGGAACTTGTTCTCCAGCTCCAGCTGCAAGTTGCGCATCTTCAATAGGTCAATCTGGTATTGAAGTGTTCTGTTTTCTCTCTTCAAGATGGGCTTGCTGCAAATGAATGTATGATAATATTCAAACCTTTGAGTAAGTTCAGTAAATAGCACAACAACATTCTGAGCAGCTAATGCAGTTATAAGTCAGTATATTTTGAGCAGGTGTTGCACAGAATTGTGGTAGAAATATATACAAAAACTAATCATGCCAAAGGCCTTGTAGCTAGAATAAATAAGAGATTCTATGGACAGTGATTTTGCATAGATGATACTGATTTTGGAGGGAAATGGCTTGGAGATCAGTATGATTCCTTGAGTGTGGGCTTGTCATTTTCCCATGATAACTACATTTTCTCACTGGGTAGCTGGATATGTTACTGTCCCTTCAATTTTTGCATTTTTATTTTACAAAAATGGTCCTCAAGTATCTACTTTATAACATGTAAAGTTGACTTGATTGAACAAATCATTAAATTTGAAACTACGTCATAATTTTTACACAAAGCTGTTTTCATTTGTCTTATACACTGAAGAGAGTCTGGGCTTGTCATTTCCCCATGATCAGTACATTTTCTCACTGAGTCATGGCAGTTCAAGTGGTGTCGTATTTATTTATTGTGTCAGAAGCGAATTGAGTTATAATGTATAGAAGACCACAAACAAAGTTTAAAACTTGGCATTATACTAAATTTCCTTTGACCAGAAGCTGGCTACTTCGAGTGGGTCTGGTGTCACTGTAAGAAGGTCCTCCATTGTGCATGTGGCAGGGCTCAGACTGCATTGTAATAGGTGGTCTGTGGTTTGCTCTTCTCCACACTCGCATGTCATGGACTCCACTTTGTAGACCAGTTTCTTAAGATTGGCTCTGCATCTCGTGGTGCCAGAGTGCAATCTGTTCAGCACCTTTCAAGTCGCCCAGTCTTCTGTGTGCCCAGGAGGGAGTTTGACAAGTGGTGTCAAATTACATTAAAGAGGTAATCCCACTGAACATGTCAAGTGTTTGAAAGAGTAGATTACCATACAGCTGAGAGATACTCTGTTTTGAAATTAAATGGATGATTTTCTTGCCTCCATCACACACTAGCAAACTATCTGTTTTATTCAGGAGTTCTCAGTTGATTTGCCATCACATTGTATAGAGTGGATCCCGTTCACTGTCCCCTGTTTTCTTGGTGAAAAGGAACACTTCCTCTAATGGGACTATGATTTTTATTCCTGGGTTATAAATGTAATTTCCTAATTGGTTCCACGGTGGCGCAGCAGGTTAAACTGCTAAGCTGCAGAACTTGCTGACTAGAAGATCGGTGGTTCAAATCCGCAGGACAGCATCTACAGACAACGCTGGTTCTTTGGGTTAGAAATTGAGATGAGCACCACCCCCCCAGAGTCAGACACGACTAGATTTAATGTTAGGGGAAACCTTTACATTTACCTCTATCATAAACACATGGGAAAATATGATTAAACTGCAAAAACTTAGTCTTTGCAAGGACATCCTGCTATAGCACATTTGGCTCTAGTTTCTCAATGATTGAACATCATGTAGAGTCTCCACGAATTTAACATAGTTTTTGGAGCACAACAAAAGTAAGGACTACACAATTAAACAGGAAATAACACTTGTAACTAGGAACATCTTTTCTTTAATATTATTATTCAGATGCAGGATGCCCATCTGTCAGGGGTTGTGCCGTTACGCCCAGACACTTTAAAATAAAACTTTGACGTGCTGCTATCTAGGTCTGGGCGAACTGCTGGGGTCTTTCTTTAGAAGATTGAGCTTTCTTGAATAACTGAGTCCAAGTTTGAAACATCAAACAGGGTATTTATTCACGAAGTCCTGGTAGACTTGGCTCAGCTTATCAATATTACAAAACAAACAGTCAATTGGGGTTCAATAGTTGAGGCAATCTTTCTCCAAAAAGGGTATAACTTTCTCCAAAATGGGTATCTCTATAACTATCTAGATAATCCTCTATAACTATCTAAACAGTTCTCTTTTAATCTATCTATCTCTAACTAAATAACTCAATCAAACTCAATTGTTTTCTATCTATGACTCTATCTATCTATCTATCTATCTATCTATCTATCTATCTATCTATCTATCTATCGGTCTCAATTGTTTTTACAATGGTATCTTCGGAGGTACCTGTCTGCCAACAGCACATCATGGATTCTTCTTTAAGACTGAAGGGGCAAGGAGACCTCCAAAATGGATGCTTCTACGCTGGAAACAGGGGCGGGCCCAAAGAGCTACTCTTTGGCCAATCATTGCAGAGAGCCTGCAAACTGGCTTTCCTGCCTCTGTCTGCTAACCTTTTAGGCCTAGCAAAGGCTGCAGCAGCCTGGGATAAACACAAGGAGAGGCTGTTTCCAGCAACTAAAAGGTAATGCAAAACTCATGCTCCTGGGAGATGGAACAGGGGTGCTTTGGGCTGGGGTTTAGCACAGCTGGTAAATCACCAGCAATGAGAAGATCTACCAACCGAAAAGTTGCCAGTTCAAATACCTGGGTCAGTGTGAGCTGCTGACTGTCAAGCCTGCTTACTGTTGACCTAAGCAGTTTGAAAACAGCTTGTGCTGTAATTAGAGAAATTAGATACCGCTAAAACAAGCAGGGGAGGTATTTTACGACACCATAAAGAAAAAAGATCAGAAAATGCTGGGTGACCAAAAGGAAGGAGGAAGTCCTGATGGCTCTTCGTCATAGAGGATGGAGTGACAGCACTCCCATGGCTAGATTTCAAGCACAACCTTCCAAGGCGTGAAAAAAATGGACTTTGATGTTGACACAACATACCTCATTCTGTTTCGTCTCTCTCTGCATTGTCTATCCAAAACAGCATTGAATGTTTGCCGTGTATGTATACTGTGATCCGCCCTGAGTCCCCTTGGGGAGATCGGGTAGAATATGAATTAAGTGTTGTTGTTGTTGTTGTTATTGATTGATTGATTGTGCTTTTGCTACATGGCAGAAAGAAGGGGGATGGCTCTTGAGGTCAACCAGAGGAGGAGGAGGGAAGGAGGTGCCTGGGGGAGTAACACATGGCACACACAACACATGGAAGCAAGCAAGGAAGGAAGGAGGAACGTCAAAGGCATGCTGGAAGAGCTAGGTTTTTAGGTCTTTCTTAAAGTCTGCCAGGGTGGGGTCTTGCCTAATCTCACTAGGTAGTGAGTTACAAAGCTGAGGGGCCACAATGGAGAAGGCCCCTCGGCTAGATAACCCTTTGCAATGCTTTTTAATCCCCAAGATATCTCTACCCTACACTTGAAGCTTACCTCATGTGATGAACACAGTAGATTGCCATTTCTTAAGTGGGTGGCTCAGTAGTTAATGAATGTAGAATCATAGAATCATAGACCTCACAACCTCTGAGGATGCTTGCCATAGATGCAGGCGAAACGTCAGGAGAAATGCCTCTAGAACATGGCTCTATAGCCCGAAAAAACCCACAAGAACCTAGTATAAAATCATAGAGTTGGAAGAAACCTCATGGGTCATCTAGTCCAACCCCCTGCCAAGAAGCAGGAAAATTGCATTCAAAACACCCCTGATAGATGGCCATCCAGCCTCTGTTTGAAAGCTTCCAAAGAAGGACTCTCCACTACACTCCAGGGCAGAAAGTTCCACTGCTGAACAGCTCTCACAGTCAGGAAGTTCTTCCTTTTGTTCAGATACAATCTCCTCTCTTGTAGTTTGAAGCCACTGTTCCACGTCCTAGACTCCAGGCAGCAGAAAACAAGCTTGCTCCCTCCTCCCTATGACTTCCTCACATTTTTATACATGGCTATTATGTCTCCTCTCAGCCTTCTCTTCTGAAGGCTAAATATGCTCAGCTCTTTAAGCCGCTCCTTATAGAGTTTGTTCTCCAGACCCTTGATTATTTCAGTCGCCCCCTTCTGGACACATTCCAGCTTGTCAATATCTCTCTTCAACTGTGGTGCCGAGAATTGGATACACTGTTCCATTTGCCCGTGCCTGATCTATAGACCCTTTGGCAAGATACACTTCCAAAACTGTTGCAAATGTGGGCCAGTCCAAAGTCTGCTCTAAGCTATCCAAGGAATGCACATCACTAATATTCGTTCAACAGGAAAGACCAGGCTCTGTATCACACTAGAAAATGAATTCACTTTAAGTGGATCACAAACTTGGCAGAGAAACCGGACTTGAAATGACAACCTCGCAATGAGTGGGAAAGGGGAGGAGCTTGGGCTCGCATTCCATTCCTTTGCCTTTGCAAAACAATTGTCCCACGCCACTCGCCGTAGCGGCTGGCTTTCACCAAGCCCCGCCCACCGGAGCGTAAGGCATAAAAGGGGCGCCGCCCAACGCTACGCAGGCGCCGCGGCAAAAGAGGAAGCAAGATGGCGTCGACGAGCCGGTCAGTGGGAGAAGCTGGAAGGGGTTTGGATGGGTTTTTCTCCCCCGGAAGCGGACCAGGGAGAGCGCGGCTGATCCGGGGGAAGGGGAGGAAGGGAGTCCGCTTGGAAAGGCTTCGGCCTGACTCTTGCTTCCAGTGTCACGGTTCAGACTATAGCATTTCGGGTGTTGGGAGGTGTTTGGCCTTCTCTGTCAGGGAGCTCAGGCGCCCCCGTAAATGACAAACCCCAGAATTTTAGAGCATTGCGCCGTGGAAGTTGAAGAGAGGTCAAACTTGCTGTAATTCTGCGGTGTGTCTACACCCCTAGGCCTTTCTCCTTTAAACCCATATTTTGGATGTGTGGCAAGGTTGTTAGACGCCATTCCTGGGGCAACTTACATTAATTACATACTATATTACTAGCCGTCCCCTGCCACGCATTGCTGTGGCCCAGTCTGTGTATGTCAGCTTTGTGTGTATATATATTTGTGTATGTGTGTATTTATGTGCATACGTTGTAATGTATTTTTTTATTTTTTGGCTTTTAAAGTCTCTTCATCTGTGTTTTTCAGTGTTTTCATGAGTGATGGTCACTCGTTGGCCAGAGAGGTGTATTGTGTCCAAATTTGGTGCCAATTCGTCCATTGGTTTTTGAGTTATGTTAATCTCACAGCCATTACATTTTTATTTATATAGATTATACTAGCCGTCCCCTGCCACACATTGCTGTGGGCCACATGGGGGTTCTGTGTGAGAGGTTTGGCCCAATCCTATCGTTGGTGGGGTTCAGAATGCTCTGTGATTGTAGGTGAACTATATATCCCAACAACTACAACTCCCAAATGTCAAGATTCTATTTTCCCCAAACTCCACCAGTGTTCACATTTGGGTATATTGAGTATTCGTGTAGCGTTTGGTCCAGATCCATCATTGTTTGAGTCCAGAGTGCTCTCTGGATGTAGGTGAACTACAACTCCAAAACCAAAGGACACTGCCCACCAAACCCTTCCAGTATTTTCTGTTGTTCATGGGAGAACTGTGTGCCAAGTTTGGTTCAATTCCATTGTTGGTGGGGTTCAGAATGCTCTTTGATTGTAGGTGAACTATAAATCCCAGCAACTACAACTCCCAAATGACAAAATCAATTTTTGAGTGAAGGACATACATTGGGTTGTTAGGTGTCTTGTGTCCAAATTTGGTGTCAATTAGTCCAGTGGTTTTTGAGTTCTGTTAATCCCACAAACTAACATTACATTTTTATTTATATAGATAAAAGGTTATCTGACTCCCACCCCTTTCCTTTTAAAAAATGATTTTACCTTTGTGTGTGGCTTTGTTACACGTCGTGTTTAACAAGACAGTCTTTCGTAATACTGGGGGCTCTTCCATAAAGTTTCTGAGAAGGTGGGGAAGAGCCTGTAGAGGCCTCTCTGTTATGAAGGAAGTACAGTAAAAGGTGACTAATGCTTTCAGCTGATGAGAGATTTCCTGGCCTTCCAACAACAGAGTTTAAGGGAGAGAGAGAGTTCAAAACAAAACAGAAATGATCACAATGATTATTACGTTTACTGTACAGTGGATTCTCTGCTAATTGACACCCATGGAGATTGGTAGATGCTGGATAAATGTAGTTTCTGGTTACTTTAGAGCAAGCATGGGCAAACACAGGTCCTCCAGATGTTTTGGACTTCAACTCCCACAATTGTGGGAGTTGAAGTCCAAAACATCTGGAGAGCCCAAGTTTGCCCATGCCTGCTTTAGAGTTATCATTATAAACAAGCCAAACTAATGCTATCCGCCATACCATAAACTGATATTAAAATTAAAATACAGTAATTAGAAGGAAATAAAGACAAGTTCAATGTACTTGTTTTACTGCAGCATAGAAACAGCTTTGTGAAGGCAGTATGTATTTTAATTTAATTGACAAACAGTAAATTTTTAACTTCATGAAGGTCAGTAACATATGTTTTAAAACATTTTTGGTGTGGGATTATGGTGCCAAGTTTAAACTTACATTTCTGCTAAAATTGAATTCATTTTAGTTTTATTTATATTCTTTTTATTTCTTTGATTTTTTTATTGTCAGTTTCTTGAGAGTCTAACTTTAATTTAAACACTCCACAGTACTAATGTTTTAGTATCTGGGTAATGCAAGGATAGCAACTGTGACTGTTTTTTTTAGAAATGGTAACCTGGTTTCTAGGGGCTTTGGTGGTGCAGCTGGTTAAACTGCTAAGCTGCAGAACTTGCTGACCAGAAGGTTGGAGGTTTGAATCCATGGGACAAGGTGAAGTCCCATTGCAAGCCCCAGCTTCTGCCAACCCAGCAGTTCGAAAACATGCAAATGTGAGTATATCAGTAGGTGCCACTTTGGCAGGAAGGTAACAGCGATCCATACAGTCATACTGACCACATGACCTTGGAGGCATCTATGGACAACGGCAGTACTTCACTTTGAAATGGAGATGAGCACCGCCTTCCAGAGTTGAACTTGATTAGACTTGATGTCAAGGGGAAACCTTTCCCCTTAACCTGGTTTGTAGTGATCTTTGCCCAAGTCTGTGACTTCACCTGTCATCTAGCCTTCCCTTCAGTCATTCCATCTCAGAACTCACTTATTTTAGTGATTAAGGTCCCATCTATATTGCCAAATAATGCAATTTCATTATGCAATTTAACCACATTGTATGGCAATGTAGACTCAGTTCAATGCAGTTAAACTGCATTCTGAAACTGCATTATATGACAGTCTAGATGGGGACTAACACTTCAGCAAAGGCAGGAATCAACTTGCAAGTTGCATCTCATATACATTGGAACTGAAGTAGTTCACATAATGCTTTTTGTAGGACTAGCAGTGCTGCTAGACTTAGTTTCTAACATCTGTCTTGGATCCTGCTTAAAAACCTTTGTCACTATCCTGGCCTTTTTAAAAACTCTTTTGTTAATGCAGTCCAGGTTGATTTTTATAAAAAAAACAAGTCTCCAGAATTGAAGTCCTTGCAAGAAAATAGATTTGCTGTATCTTCTAAACAGCCCGTGTCTGGCATTGGAGAATTAAACAGATAAGCAGAACTCACATGTGGATTGTGTTTTCTGAGGGATGAATGACGTTATAGGTACAATTTCTAAATGAAGACAATGTGATATAACTTCCTAGTCAGGTCATTTTAGTGCATTGCTAAGCACTATCAAGTATATTTAGAGGTGTGTTTTTTTTATATCTAATCTGCTTTTGTGAAAACAATGAACTCTTACATTTCATATCCATAAAAAATTGCTGTTGAGCAACATCTCTTGCTGTCTGACTTTCCTTATTATGACCACATTGCTGGTAGTTTGTGCAATTGCCCTAGATAAGTAGTGTGAAGCAGATTGCTTTGTGCACTGAGTTTGTTTAGTAATTTACTTGCTTGGCACACTTTGCCTAACCCTGTGCTTAAATGTTGTGGCTAAACATTGCTTGCACTTAGAAGGCTGATTAAGTTCTTCTTCTGAATTGCATCCAGGGTGCTGGCAAGGCAGCAGAGTGAAAAGTACTTCTTTTATGAGTCTGCAATTTGTTTGCTGACGTGTATGTAACATGGACTCGCAATACTTCTGTTTTTACTGGAAAGGCATTGCTGATGATGCAGATAGGTGGAAAAATCACAAAAGATAATAGATACATTCTGAATCCCATTATCCACTTAAAGGTGCATCTACACTGTAGAATTAATGCAGTTTGCCACCACTTTAACTCCCGTGTGTTCAGTGCTATGAAATCATGGGAGTTGAGGTTTTACGACAGTTTTAGCATTCTCTGTTAAAAAGCGTTGGTGTTTCACCAAACTACACAGGATTCCATAGCTTTGAGCCATGGTGGTTGAAGTGTTGTCAAACTGCTTTAGTTCTTCAGTGTAAATCTACCCAAAGATAACACAAAGCATAGGAAGCCCCAATGATTATTAAGTCTTTTGAAACTAAAATAATCATATGTTTCCTTTAGAATTGTATGAATAAATTAAATCTTACTATAGGCCTTTTAAGTTTAAAGTCCTGACAGTGGTAGCTATGAAATGCATATATTTAAAGATTTTTAAATATATATATATATATATATATAAATTCAGAACCACGGGTAACCTATTTTAAGACTGCCACAAGAAGTTATCACTTAACTTTCCCCCCCCCAGCATAATCCTAATAAAGGATGTTTGTATCTAAAATTCAACTTTAAGATGTTGCCCTATGATCCTTGAAACTTGGTATATGCACTAACATGACATTGAGTGTGCACCTTAAGGTCATTTATGTTTTAAAACACATGAATTCATTTGAATATCTCAGTGTGCTTTACTCTTTAGGTAAGAGGATTGACAGACGTCCAGGTTGAATTTGTATGTAAGTGGGAGCAAGTACATTTTTAAGTGTAACTCCAACCAAATATGTATATAAGTTTTGAATAGTATAGGAAAGGGTTAACACTCTTGTGGTGTTCGTTTTGCTGACTGTGCCCATATTCAGAAGATTTCACCTCACGTTCTGTCCCTGTGATAATTAGATTTTGAAAAATCTGGCTTGCTGTGGGAAGAAGGATTGGTGATAAAGTTTCAGTTGAGATACATTTTCCCCATGACAACTCTTTCAGGAATGAATTTCCCTTCCTAGAGGTAGATTTCTCTCACTTCCTGTTGTCTCACCTCATTCTTAACTATGAGACATTTGTAAGTCGGATTTGTAAGGGACTGCCTGTATATGGAATGGCATTGTCTGCTCTCCCATGGGGTTGTAGGCATGTGCCATAGTAAGTGGCATGCTTAAGGCTGTCACCAACAGTGGTAACAAGGTGGTTTCCAACTTGGACAGTTGTATAGCTTTGTTTGGATGCCTTTATTTATTACAATAAGGACTGTTCCAGCCCACAACGAAGCTGGGCACTTTTGATGCTATAGCCTTTTGCTTTTTATTTGCTTGATGTTAGGACTGAGATCCATCTTGTAGATCCAGGCAATGCTCTCCTTTATACAACTGAGAGGCTAATTTACTTACTAACCTAATGATACATGTTCCATCTATGTGTTTAAACTAGCTGAACGCTGCAACTTCCTTAATTTTTCAATTAGGAAAACAGGTATATTTACTTTTCACCACATGAAAATATGTTGCACTAACCAATAATTAAAGGCTAAACCACATGCCACATTAAATACATAGCATGCAATTTATAATCAAGGCCTAAATACCCTTAAGGCACTAGATCTGGCTTTGAAGCTAAGTTGAGTCAGCCCTGGTTTGTACTTGGATGGTAATGAACACTAATGAATTCCAGATGCTGTGAACTACATGTCAAGATAGAATTGGCAAAACCGCCTCTTGAATTTTCCTTCCCGTAGCAAACGTATGAGTCCTGAGGGGTCGATAGGTGACATAAAGGCACATACACAGCGTCGTATCACTTCCTTTTTATAAATTCAGATCCAGTCTGGATTGTGGATGTGGGAGATTTAACTCACCTGCCCTTAACCAGTTTTTATTTCAAAATGTCTGCCTTTAACTGCAATGGAGTTTCTAATTTACATTCTTGAATAGGAAGGAAGGGACCTTGCATTTTGGTCTGATCTAGTTTGGGGCTGCACAGAAATTCTTCAATGTAAAAATAAAGTGACCTTCCTGCGTTTAATGTAGCATGGGCTGGCTTTAACTATTATATGTTGCTTTGTTCTGGATGTTTCTAGATCTATAGATATCGTTAAAATAAAAGCCATGTATCAAGGTATATGATAACAAATCAGCAAAAGGTTTTGAGTAGTGGTAGATAGTTTATGTTTATGGAATGGAACTGATGCAAGGTGTGATAGTTGTGCGATAAAGGAGGAGCAGGGCTGAAACAAATCAAGCATGCTGGCAAGAACACTTGCCCAGATAGAGCTCGTTTGTGAACATATGCTATATTGATATTTTATATAGTTTGGGGAGCCAAGTAGTATGTGTAAGTGTCTAGAAAATATTGATAATGGGCTATGGCCTTTCCTACTGAATGTAGCTCAATAGCCGGGCAAATGTTTGGCAAGCAGAAGGTCCCAGGCTCCATCCTTGGTAATGATGTGTTGTGTGTGGGTGTCATATAAACATGTGTCTTCAAATTGCATTTCAACTTACGACCATATGTATTTCTAGGAACACTCAGTTCCTTCCTCTGAAATATAGTCTACCCCACTGCGCATTAATTGGTGGTCTCTCTTACAAATATTAATCATGACTGACTGTGCTTAGCTTCCCTGACTTTTGATGCTGATTTTAAGAGATCACTTCAAACTGCTGAACTTCTTTTGGAGATAGGATTCAATACCTTGGGTAGCTCCTTTAAAATGTGGACTAAAATACAGAGCAGACTCAACATCCTACTGATACTGGAGTTGCTTTCTCTATCAATATTAATTGCTGTATATCCCAATGTGTCCTCCAATATAAGATTACTGACACTGATTGTAGTAGACTGCCAGGATTTTATGGAAGTACGTTGTTTTTAATTCATCAGGGGCTTCGGGAATTTAGGACTTAAAAAGCTAGAAGCAATGTTCTTAATGGACCTTGGGAGCAAGCAATTTGATCAATATTACATGTTCTTTCCTGTTAGTAGGAAAGAGACCAGATACAACATGGAGCAATTAAAGCTTCCAGACTGACTGCCATAATCTACTCTGGAAGTTAATGATGATTGAAGCCAACTGCCTTTTCTAGAATGTGCAGAAAGGTACCTCTGGCAGTAGGTGTTTCCTAAACAAGATAATATACCACTTCAGGTAGAGTGCAAGAAGAATTAATGTCATCAATTTCACGAATTGTTCTTGATTAGTAGTACCACCATCTTTTCCAGAAACAATTTGTTTTAGCTTATATCAACTCCCATTCACTCCTGAATTACCGCTAGACCCCAGTTTATACTTTTTATGGAGTCTCTGGGATTATAGTATAGAAACAAAAGGCTTACATCTCAGCCCAGATGATCAGAGATTCTCATCTAGTTTTCTCATTTAGAATTTTAAAAGCATGAAAAAATAAATGAATTTTTTGATCACAAACCAATTATTGAATTCTAGATAAAAACTGAGCCTGTTCCAACCTAGATGGTCTGGAAAACTACTATGGTTGATGTTATCCAACGCTGTTAATCACCCAGTCCAGTTTGCAATGCAAGTACATGTATAACTCAGTTAATGAAGCAGATGTTTTCCTGGGTATTACTTCTTTTACCAATGCTTTGGTATCAGAGGCAGAAATAAGGAAACATTAAAGATAAATTCCCACACCACAAAAAACAAACAAACGAAAACAAAAACCAAATGAGGCAAAAGTGGGAACTAATGGTTATACAGCCAGAGGTTTTATCTGCTCACCAGAAGTTGAATGGTTGCAGCTTGAGACAGGAAAGTGAAACTGAGAAAAGAGATGGTCACAACAATGTATGGATTATCCCAATCTTGTTGCAACAGCTCTTATGACTTACCGCACCACTGGCAACATTAGAACAAAGCGCTTTCAGAGATTCCCCCATGCATTAAGAAGTATGGATAGACAACAAGAGGAAAATTGTTTTGCAATTCATTTGAGATAACATAGTGTAAAAAACAGCATTTCCGCATGTTGTTAAGCAACCCCCAACATGTGCAAAAATCTGTATGCAATAATCCTTAGTTCAAGTCTTCTTCCAAAATGCATTAGGCTCATTTTTTTCTTTTATTAGCCTCCACGTTTCTAATAATCTTAATTTTGATGGTGGAACTTCTAGATCAATTCTTTCTAAGATTACAATAAAGCATTCCCCCCATCCAAACACTAATCAGACCCCAACCCTGATTAGCTTCTGAGATCTGGCATGTTCAGGGAGGTATGGACATAAGATCAATGCTTTTTAATATGCTGGGGGAAATAGTTTTTATTCACCCCTTTATCTCTGTTTTGGTGTTCATTTGTGGGGGGTTAGGGGCAGAGAATCCCTGGGAAAGTGGAAAAATGTGAATAGGACATATCTGGGGTGGGACAAGTCTTTCCTGTACACCAGACAGGTGGGAAGGGGCTGCTCTGACTTCCCTGAAGCTGCGGGGAATGGAATAGTGGCCATTTCAGTTGCCCACCATACCCCAATGAATGCTACAAACCCATAGACGGGGGGGGGGGAGTGGTGGTTGGCGATTGGAGTTACCACTGTTCTTTGGCTTGGCAGATTAGAGCAGCAAGGATTTCAGTTGAGATCCACTCTACATCTAAATCTGGTTCGCAGAGTTCGGTAGGGGTGGCTGCAACTGAAATAATCACTATTCTACTCCCTGAAGCTGTGAAGAGTAACAATGATTTCAGTTGCTAATCATTCCCAAAAGAGCTCTGTAAATAAGACGACTTTGGTGTGTGGTGGATGGTGACTGAAAATGTTGCTACTCTGTACCTTGAATGCACGGAAAATGGAGTAGTGACAATTTCAGTCTTCATCCACCCTGAAGTTTGTTGATTCGTGGCCTTACCATAAGAGGGAGGAGTGGGTGAAAACTGAAATTGCTGCTGACCCACCCTTGAAATTATGGCAAAGCTGTGAATGTAGAATGTTGTACTCCTGGAGTTTAGCTTGTAGTCATCATTTTAAAAATAGTGTTAAAATAAGTTCATAGTACTTTTGTTTAAAAGGAGAAAAATAATTGGATATTTCAGCGGACAGTTTGAGGAAATAATGTTTCTCTTGATGTTGATTTTGATACTGATCCAGGCATCCCCAGTACAGGATCAGTTTGTGTTCTGGAACCCCCAGAACCTGCAGACTCCTAAAATTGGCAAAGTGTTAAAACAGAACAAAAAAACAAACTAACATGGAAGTGGCTAGAGCTTCACTTTTAAAATAAACATTTTCTTACACCAAATGGTACAAAACTATTTAAAAGGCTTCTAGTAGAGGGAAGGGGTTGAATTTGTACAATCCTGCTTTAAATGAAGTTTGCTTAACTGGAAAAAAGGTGCTTTAATATGAATTGACAAACTGTACCAAAATATTGTATTTATTTTTGTTTTTAAGCTTGGATGTGCTACCAAGAGTGACATGTCCAAATCATCCAGATTCGATTTTGGTGGAAGATTACAGAGCTGGAGACATGATCTGTCCAGAATGTGGACTTGTAGTGGGTGAGTAATGTTATTGTTCTCTACTCTTTTCGCTATGATAGAGTGTAGTTAAACAGGCTACATACTTACTTTTACGTTTTTTTGCATTGTTTAAATTTGAATATATTTATTCTCAGTTATCAAATGATTACATCTAAGAACTTTGCTCATCACAGTACTATAAAACATCTTTTAGTATATAATGGATGATGTAAGTAATCTGCAGATATTTATAGGAATACCTCATTAACATTTTAAATAACTGCTCTGCCTAGGACATTGTAGGTTTCAATGTGTTTTACTCACACCTCGCAAACTTGCTTTCTTCCCCCGTGATGGCCTTTGGTGTGTTCTTTGCTGGAGACAGAAAGCATATACAGTATTTACTCTGGTCTTTTCTTTAAGGTCATTTGCTTTATTGCTTTCAGTTTTGAACCAGCGGTTTGTGCCCTGCAAATTAAGATCTGGTAGGCGGCTAGTGAATATGTTCCCCAGAGATGCATGCCTAATCTGTACTCTTTTGGACAATGCACAAAGGCTTCTATACAGGTTCATTCTAGGGGGTTGTTGAAGCTTTTTATGGATCCCTTATTCTTGATTTTATTGCTTTACCTCAACTGTGCATAGTATAGAGACATTTATTATTTATATTGCATGTGCCACCCAAAGAACTCTGATGATAGGTGCCTAGAACTAGTGCAGATGTTTTGACAGTTGTCTACATAGTAGGTTGAAGATGCTGCCCGCACTTTTAACCCAAGGCATGGGTTAAAATGTGTAGTTTTAAGAGCTGGGCAGAAGGTGTAGGCTTCATAGGTATTTATGTCTATCTCATAGGGAACATACAACAACATGAAAATAATGGCTTTGATTATGCATGGCTACTGTTAGCGGAAACCTGGGCTCAGTTGAAAATTTTTGCCTTCTAATGTGTTGAGATACACAGGCTAAGTTCCTGTGGGATCAGTACCATGTGTGTGTTAAAAGAAACAAATTTTACTTTGGTTAATCACACTCCTCAGGTTGTGTAATTGGACTAATTAAAGCCAACTAGTTTTGGCCACTCCCTAAGGAGTATAACTGCAGAGTGTTTGCAATTTAATACTGGACTTACTGAATGTCAATTCCTGATCTTGCTGAAGCTTTGTTTCTTGGCATAAACTCCTCACTGGCAGTTCATTTGATGTTGGCCAGTTTGTTTCCATGTTCAATGAAGAAACCTTGAAAGATATTTTCTACTCAACATGCATGGATTATATGTGAGTGCATTACTCAGAAGAAACTGTGACTGCATTGTTGGTTTTGTGTTTGAAGTCACTGCTTTATTGAACTCTGATTAGATAAGAGTAAATTTCTGTTTTTGCTTTCTTCTGTATTTGTGTAGCTCATTTTTTGAGCTGACCTGCGCACTGAGCTGCATGCACTGCACAAACTGCAACATGATGTACTTCAGCTGTAGGAAAAATATACTAGTACGGGAATTAACTACTCTGAGAAGAAGTAGAATAAATTGTTGCAAGTGTGATCACTACTTGTGTAGCAGAGGGAGAAAGGAATCATATGGTTGTGTTGTGAAAGAGGCCACTTCTCTAGAAAAGGAGAATGCAAAAAGAGGATTAACTGATGGCAAGCATAATAAATGTTAATCCTGGCCACTGTCAAGCGTGCACAGGCACTCTTGAGGGAATGTGGCAATAGGTGCCATATGTGGCAGTAGATGCCACCCTAACCCTAGATTTTGTTGAAAAAGTATGTTGTGAAACAGTTGGTAATGTTGAAATGATCATCCAGATCTTTTCCATCTGTGTTGGTATCATGAAGCGGTAGAAATCAACATATGAATCAAATTTCTGTTCTGCTTTCCCAGAGCAGAACTTCTGCTCAGAATGAAATTTATCCTCTGGCTTTCAGAGTTTACAGACTGCTCTTGAGAAGTGAAAGTTGGTAAAAAGTTTGACAGTAGTATAAACATGGTGATAATTAAAGCTAATGCCATCCTTCACTATTTTAAAAAGATGATTTGATAGAGAACCTGAGTCTTTGACCTTTCTCATCTTGGGAACATGCCCTACCAGTGTTCTTTGATTGCAGCTTCCATGGTAGCCTGTAGTAAGGGATAATGGGACTTGTAATCAAGGCCATATATTCCCATTTCCCGTTGTAGTTACTTAAAGCAAATGCTTCATTAGATACTCCAGGAGCCCCTGGTGGCGCAATGGGTTAAACTCTTATGTCGGCAGGATTACTGACCAAAAGGTTGGGGGTTTGAATCCAGGGACCAGAGTGAGTTCCTGTATGTCAGCTCCAGCTTCTCGTGCGGGGACATGAGAGAAACCTCCCACAGGACGGTAAGACATCTGTGCGTCCCCAGGGCAACATCCTTCCAGACAGCCAATTCTCTCATACCAGAAGCAACTTGCAGTTTCTCAAGATACTCCATATTTTATTGAACATTCAATGTAAATTGAATTGAATTGCCAATGTATTGATCATTCAATGTAAATACCATTTAGAGTATACAAAAAAATGAAAGTTAAAATTATCAGGATATCTCTCGGTACTGGCTACTAGGTTTTGCATATTTATGGTTATACACAAAACAGTATGTAAAAATACACCACCAAGATATTTCTGAATGATGGAGTATTTTTTAGCAACTGCAAATAGAAATGTGGTGTGCTGTGTTGAACTTCGGGCCTATCAGCAAAAACTGTTGTGTGAGCCCAGCAGTGCTCATTGCCCTGGGAATAGTGTCCCCATCTTGAAGCATGGAAATGACAGCATCATCATCATGCCTGAGAATGCTCTTCCTTGGAGGAATTGGGAAACTGACCAGGATTTTGAGCAAGATAAATGGAGCCAAATGCAGGGCAAGTCAAATACCTGCCTGCTTTCAGACATCTTGCTTAAGAGTTTGATTTGTTTTGTGACCAAGTGCTTAACTCAAAACATTCTTATCTCAAAGCTGATCTGCCCATTGAAATGCCATTAATCCATTCTTTTGTTGCATGTTTTTAATAAGAAACTATAAATACCAAATAATGTATAAATGCACATTCACATAGAACAATAAAAAAGAAAAGATCAACTTTAAAATGGCAGAAGCACAAAGTTGTGGCAAGGAACCACATTTGAGGCAACAAAATGTGTGTTGGTCAGTGTGACAGCAAAGCAAAAACTGCACATTCACACAGAACAATGAAAAAAAGAAGGATCAACTTTAAAATGGTAGAAGCACAAAGTTGTGACAAGAAAGCACAAAGTGAAGAGGCAGAAGCATCATTTTCTTCATATGGTGCTCATTCCCCCCCCCCTTACACACACACACTCTCTTTCTTCATGAAGCCAAACATACCAGGAATAAAAAACACACAAAAAATCAACTAACTCAAAGCTCAAAGCAGAAAAGAGCAAACCGGACAGCATTCTCCCAAAGCAGACAAGAGCTTGAGGCACTAAGGCTGCTCCCTTGAAGCCCTAATGCCTGTATTCTTGCACTAGTGCTCCCTCTGGTGCTAGCTATTAACTCAAAACACTGCTCTTACGTTAAAGCAAAACCCGGGCCGAGCAACAGCACTTAACTCAAAATGCTCTTAAGTTGCGATTCTTAAGTGGAAGTTTCACTGTATTTGCCATGACATTTTGGCTCTTCTAGGCTCATGGTTCTCATTAAATGTCACTTCCATTTTCAACATCTGCTCAGCTTATGATCAGAATGAGAAAAAAATGACTCTGCCAAATAATACTTCCATTTAAAAACCTCATCTTAAAATGGATTGCTGATTAAACATGTCTGTTTTATATATGCCCAGGCAGACTTTTTAGAGATTTTTTTTAAAAAAAACCAAAAACCCAAAAGTGCTACATGAAAAGGGGTATAGAATTCAGATCATCATCACGTTTTGCCCACTATTTTACTGCTGTACATTATTTTTTTAAAAGGAGTCAAATTGCATGCCTTTTAAAAATTTCCTTTTGGTTGAGTACCTATGTGACAATCGTCAACACTTGTGGAATATACAGGAGGGAAATCCTTTTAATGGTGGATTAAGGGCAGACTATCCACCAAGTATAAACATAACATTCCTGCACAGCCTGTCATATTTGCAGCTTTTGTTACAAAATGTGGAGTCGTGTTGCACCATAATGTCTAGTCATTTTACTTTAGCATAAACTTTCATGGACTTACATCTGAGGAAGTAACTTGTGGTCCACAAAAGTTTATGCAGTAATTAAACAGTGCTTGAAGGTACTGCAGGAATCCTTGCTCCAGTGGGGAAAGACTATGCTTTGAGTGCGCTTCCCTTCACTTCTGTAGTCGAAAAGAATGGAGTTTTCTTTATCATGGGAGAGGTGAATGGGTAGATGGAAAAAAAACAGGTTCTCTGCACCCTTTGCCTCCTTTAGCTGATGAGAGAGGCAAAAGTAGTAGCATTGCTTCACTTATGAATGTAATATTGAACAATTGAACATACTTGCTTAAATCCGAGCATATTATACACATATTTCTATAACACTGTAAAGCAGAGCTTTCATTTCAGGTTGGTGACATACTTTTTATACATACATCATTTTGCAACATAGTCATTCAGTTTTACTAGCAAATCAAAGGTTAAACCAAAGGTTAAACCTTTTTAAGAGGTAAAGACACATACACAAATTGTGAAAATCAAATGTATTGGAACACAACAAATCTCATGAAAATCTTACTTTGATGTATTAAAAATATATTATTTATATTATTTATTTCACGTGGACTAGTTACATTTGTGCATTACAGCTACATACTGCAGCTGACACACTAACAGGTCGCAACTCACAGTTTGGAAAACTGCGCAATAAAGAGATCATGATGTTCTGTAGAACATCTGCTTCTTCATGTAGAACATCTACTTCTCTGGTCAAATTGAGCTCAGATAGTAGAGATGCTCAGGAATTGTTCCCTGAACACTCGCAATTACTTCTAGTTGCTTAAAGCATTGCTGAATTTTCAAATGTTGTGGTCTGTATAGACCAGCTTA